TTAGATATTTCTAGCATCTTAAGCTATCTTCTACCTCATGATTTCATCACTTTTCGCCCCACACTTGCAATTGCATAACCCTAATGCGCTATAATCAAAATGATATGACCGGGCAGCCCAAATAACAAATGCAATTATGGTCAATAACCCCAAATTGAGAGCTCGTTCAAATGGGCTGTCGGTCGTTTCATAACCGAATTGGTGGAAATTGAAATTAAAAATTTAATGCCGGGCACGTCGATCGATCAGCCGATCACCTGCCGCTATTGTTTTGCTTTGTATTTTCCTCCCTCCTTCTCCTTCTCCTTCTCCCTCTTTCTCTTTCAATTTCAATTTCTTCGTATATGTTTTTAACTGACTTTTACCTAACGGAAATGATTTCTTGCTTTTAGCCAGTGTCAAATGCAAATTGGGCTATGCCATGGTTATGGCATACGGATCGAAATCGAAATGGCTTATAGAGAGGGGTGTGGTGCTGGCTGGACTGCTGGACCTTCGCATCGAAATGCAATACGACTAGAAATCGATCGATTAGCTTATTTTCTTTGTTAACAACTTTGATTTTTGCCCAAGACCGAGTGTCGCATTAAACTTGAAACTACAAAATGGTTTTGTTGGCTAGCGTCCCGCCGTCCCACGATGACGGACAACATTGCAAAAATTTGCAATGATCGAAATTAGCGCCGTCTCATGATGGAATGTAATTTCTGTCTAATTATCGTCTGTCTGGAAGCTGGTCGTAATAATAATTCAACTCGGAGTTGCCTAATTGTGGCATTTAGGCATTTGCCCTCGAACAGTCTGCGTGTTAATTGCCTTTTTTTTGCTGTCTTCTCGGCGCTCATCAAAGTGAATTATTAACCCGGACTCGGCTCGGTAGAAAAAACTCCTCCCCATTGAAAAAGTCAAGAATTCTATGGGCATTATCTCATCTAGACCGATCGGTATTTGGCCTAGACCTTTTAGCCCCCCTCCCAATTGGTGACTGGCTGTTTGGTTAACTTGGCCAATTGCATTGCGTGGTGCGGATTTTAATTACGCACAATTATCCGTAAACGAGTTTGTTGCCTAAGTCATTCGTTGGCGGCGCATAAAAAAAACAAAAAAGTGGGGGGAAAAAGCAGGCCAAAATCGCGGTCAAAGTTGAAAGTATTTTACATACATGTCTCCACTCGAATGAACCGTTATTGCTAACAATAAAAGCCAACAACAACAACGCTGTCTTGGCCATAATTTCATTTTTCGCTGAAAACAACAAATAAAAAAAAACCTCAAAAAACAACGAAAAAAAAACTGCAAGACATTGCAACAATCAAATTAAAGTTACATTACATAAGCTAAGCTTGTGTCCAGTAGAAAGAGATGGCTGCCCCTGGCTAGACAGAGAAAGACAGAAGCTGAGAAATAGATAGATACACTGCGAGATATTTGGGGGAGAAACCAGATAGAGAGAGAGACTCTTGTCGCATGCTGATATAGCTGCCGTGTTTATTTGTTGTGCAATTTCGGTGTCTGTTACTGCTTCTTCTTGTTGCAGGCAAAAATATAGATACACCAATGGTCAAAATACTAGCAGAGGTTTCTAAAAAACAGAAATTGTGTATAAGAAGTACAGAAAATATCAAATCTTTTAAAGAAAAATATGACAACTCATATTTTTTTTATGAATTTTTTCTTAGTTTGTCCTAAAATTCTGATCATAGCTGTATCCTATGGCTATTATATATGGGAAAGCCATAGAAATTATGTTGCGTGACGTTTCATTTCGCACAAAGGCTGTAATTGGGCCTGTTACCTGCCCGCCTTGCACCGCCCCGCCCCACTCCACCTTGCTCCTTCACTCAAAAGTCGGCTAAGTATATTGGCCTAAAAACAACCGTTGTGCATTGTGACCAACTAATGACCAAACAGGCTGCAAAGTCCAAAAACCAAGCCATCGAACCTCGATCACTTGTCGGTTTTTGGCTTAACTTTGGCTTCGTTTCAATTTTGGTTAATTATTTTCAGGTTTTTTTTTCTGTTTTTGTTTTTTTTTTTTTAGACACTCAGGTGAAATGCGAGACGAGGTCAAAACAGTGATTTGCCCATTTTCTTAAGCAGGAAAATAAATACACGAAAAAAACCCATCGTTAACGAATATTTCTTTACCCGGAATAATTGCAAAAAAAAAAAAGGTATATATATATATATAATCAGAGATTACGAAGATTGTGAAAGCTTTTTTTTTTTGGATTTTCGAGGAAGTTTGCCGATCGCCGTCAATGATGATGAGACAATATTTGCACTTCCTCTAAGACTTTTGCCGACTGTTTGCCAACGACTAACTAAACAAAGTGCCAAAAAAAAAAAAAAATTAGAAAAATTTGTACAAATTAGTTATCGCCTTTTTCTTCGATTTATGAAGTCTTGGTCGTTGGGCCTTCGACTTGACTTCTAATTTGCAATTTTTTCTTAGCTTTTTGTCATGGCGAGTGCATTTCAGGTCAACCTTCAACCTGCAAATCGAGTTCAGCCAAGCGGAGCTGCGACCAAACTATTGCATTTGCAATTGCAATGGCCAACACGGCAACATAGCCAGCAAAGTAATGTAGAAAAAATACACAACAACAACAACAACAGCTAACACAAGTAGAAAAAAAAGGTAACAACGGCCACAATTTATTAGCCATTGATCTTGGCCGAGGATTGGTAGCTCCAGATACGAAACCAGTGCTGAAAATTATGTCCGAAGCGTTTAAATAACAATTTCCAGCCCCGTGTCCAAGAGTCCGGTTTACCACCACGTTCGCTGGCCAGCAGGAAAAACTTTGGCCCTGACTCCGCTCCATGTGTGGTAATAAACCAAAAAATATATATATATAATGACAACAATATATATACACACTCGTATGTGGAGACATTGACATAGATGCCAGTTACAAAGTCCCGGCTTTTCGCCACCCAAAAACCCATTTTTTACGACGTTTTAATGTGGTGTTGAGGGCGGTGGAGAAAACTGGCAAGATTGTTGGTTAAAATAGTGAAAGACTTAATAGGAATTTGGGAAGATGAAGTAAGAAATAAACTTAAAATATCTTTAAGATAAGTACTTTAAATACATAAAAAGCTTAAATTTAAATGTCATAATAAAAACTTATCATGAATGGTAGAAAAACATAATTACTTTCCCTGGGAAATCATAATTTTCCCAGACAAAAGATATATTTCCCGTGGCAAAAGTCTAAAACGCCTCTAAACGGTGCATTTTACTGAGGTAACTGAGATATTTAACTGCTTGTTAATTACGAAAAATAAGAAAATAAAAAGAAATTAAGACGAATTTCCGAAACGGCGTTGGCCTTTCTCCCCAAAAGAAAAACGCTTCCGCTTTCTGCGGTGCAAGAAAGAAAATGCATTTTTCTTTATCACTTTTCAAGCTCTCTTTCACACTGAAAGGTTTTCCCTAGACTCCATGAACTTGAACCGTCATCAAGTGGGGTCTCTTTCAATGAATGTGCCCACTTTCCGGGCACTTTTGGCCCATGGTGCAACCAGTGAAATAATAATAAAAAAGAAACTCAAACACTTTTATTATTTTTCTTTTTTTTTTGGCTCTCTTTCTCCTTTTTCTTTTTTGTCTTTCTTGTGTTTTGCGTTAATTGATTACATAACCAGCATCTGGAGAGTGGTTTTAGCTTGGCCAAGTCAGTTGGTCAGTGGTGGTGTTTTTTTTTGTTTTTGGCTTTTGGTCTCAGGTTGCTGGAATCGATAGGATTGGACTTTTTGGGTGGTACGGCAGCAAACTTGTCGCAACAACCAGCAAAATCAAAAAAAAAAAAAAAAGAAAGAAAAACCAAAAGCCGAAAAACCAAAACCCAAAAAAAAAACACGTCGCACAAGATTTATTCATAATTCGAGCTTTAGTTCGGACCAGTCACTCACTTTCGACTGCAAATACTGCCAGTCGATCCCAATTTGATCTGGTCCGTGCAATTGAACCGATCTGATACGATCCGTTATTCAATACCAAAAACCCCCTGACATAATGACCAACAGAAAAAATAAGACCTCAATCGATAAAAAAAAACGACAAGAAAACATACAACCAAAATTTGGAAAAACCAATTTAACCAAATGGGGAAAAATTCGGCGAAACAACAAGCGAAAAATTCAAACGCCCATCAGGCCAAAAATTTGATTGAGTTGCTGTTAAGTTGTTGTTGTTGTTGCTGCTGCCTTACATGCTGCTGCTGCTGCTGTACATGCTGCTGCTGCTGTACATGTTGCTGCTGCTGTACATGTTGCTGCTGCTGTACATGCTGCAGTTGCACTGCACTGGCAAGAACTAATTGCGACCTTGGCGATCACTCGCATCGTATCGTGCACTTATGTAGATTGTGTGCTTACGGCAAAATTCGTCTATTCTCCATCTCTAAAGTCTGTATAAAATCCGCGAATATATATATATATATCCGATCGCCAAATCGGCGAATGGCACGTTCAAACATACACACACCCTGCCGCTGGTTTTATTTTTCAATCGAATAAGTCGCGAACAAGATCAGTCTCAGGTGGAAAATTTGTGTGGAAATTGCGATAACTTGGAGGGGAAGTGAATGACCATCTCATCACGTAGACAAAAAAGATAAATCATATCTTGATAAAACTTTATAATTCACTTTTAAAACAACCACTTTTATCACAGATATTTTCCATAAATTGAATTTTAACCGCAAGCTTTAATTCTTATTAACGTTTTTCTTTTACAACTTAAATCTTTTTTTTTTGGTTCTGGTAAATTGATTTCTGCGGGCAGCAGACTAAGATTAGACTGAGATTATTCATGTTTGTGGTTTAATAAAATTTAATATAATAGTTAAAAAAAACTTTGGAAGAATATTAACAAAAATTATCAAATATTCAAACATATTTTACATAGAGGAAACTATGTTCTCATTTTCGGGACCTTTTCTAATTAACCCCCTAAGTCCCCCTGTAGAAGTCCATGTTTTAGTACTTACTCTTTACGGCCCACATCTTGGCATCACTGAGACCACCCAAGTAGCTCCTCATGTCCCGGCTGCAGTTAACGGACACTCCGCCGGCGCTTTCCACCTGACCCCATTGCGCGGCCAGAACGGCGAGATCGAAAACGTTGAGGGCATCCCTTAGACGGCGGGTTCTCGACAGATCAAAGCTAAGTTTCGGATCAATGGGAATACTATCCGCACCCACGCCATGCAAACTTAGGTTAATCACATTATGCTGATCCGATCCGGAGCTTAGATTGTGTCTACCCGTCGGGAATTTGCCATCTTCCTTGTCAATCGCTGCTTGGGGCGTTGCCAGCAGCGAGAGCAGCATTGCCAGCACCAAAGTCCTGCGCATCATAGCGATCCGTTATGTGGCGCTATGTATATATATCAACGATATATATATACTAATTGGCTGGGCACGACGTTCCTGCGATGTCTTTATATTTATCTTTCCGTTTTGTATTTTTTCGGCCTGCTTCACTTTCACTCCACACGAACAGAAAAAAAAAACAATAATAAAATCCAATGTGGGTTAACAGCAAATTATTTATATATTTTGCACCAGCATTTTCACAACCAAAAAAAAAAGTGATGATAACAGACACTCGGCAGAACCGTTAGAAATATTTATTTAATTTTGTTTGGCACTTCTTATTATTTTTGGGACGAAGGGAGATGATGGGGAATTGTATTGAAAACACACGCGCGGCTTATTATAATTTGTCAGCTTTTATGATAAATATTTTTTGGGGAGCTGCGACGACCGCTTGGCATGAACGCACGTCTACGAATCGCGACTGCGCGTCTTGAGCAGCTGTAAAAATATGTTAACAATTCCAAAAACGCAGGCCCAAAAAAAAAGTCGAAAAAAATCTCTGCTCAGACTTGATCTCTCGCTCTCTTTGTTTCTCTCTCAGGCTTCCTTCGTTTTTCTTCGGCTCTGTTGCGATTCCGCTCTTTCTTGAAAGCGCAAGTGAGTTTTACCGTTAGCAGCACTTTCGTTGAGAGTGTGGTTTAACTTCTGTATAGCTTACCATCTCTCTCTCTCTCTTTTGGAAAAAAGCAAAAGCCCTGCGTCATCGACTATGTGGTAATATCTATCAGTGTATGGTGTGTGTGTGTGGATACGTTTATATTATGTTATGGAATTTGGCGAGTGTGTGAGTGTTGCAAAAGTGGCCGCAAAAATGAAATTAGCCATTGATATTTGAATAAGCGACGAGGTCTAGAGGAGAGGACCGCAATCGCAATCAGTATAGCCACTATAACCATATAGCCAGCGGTCCCAAATTCCAGCCAAGTCGGTCAAATCAGTTAAGCCAAGTCGCTTAAATGAGCTAAATGGATTCGCACTCAAGCAAGATGGCCAAAATCACTTTTCGAACTGCCTTTACTGCCCTTTTGCAAGCCCCATTTTGAAATAATATTATGATAAAAAATTAAAGAAAGGATTTATGTATTTTATAACGTTTTCAGTTGTAATAATTTATTTTTTCAGATCTTTTAAAGTTTCTTGGTCATTTTATTATGATTAAATCACATACATTATATATTATGATTATTATTATTTTTACTTTAGGGTATCCATCGATCGATTTAAAAATTAGTAAAAACCATTTTATCAACTTAATGTAAATTTATAAAATTGGAAACTTTCAGCACATGAATCAGCTACAAGCGATTTAACGAAACAAGAGGTGAATAACTTAAGTGGATTATTCACTAAGCGATTTTAAATAAAAAACTACTGTGATTTAGTAAATCAGATTTTACGAAATAAGATCTTAGGAATGATATGATCTTCTTCAATATTATTATATTTAATTAATGTACTATGGAATGTTTACCCAGTATTATATGTTATTTTGTAAATTATATACACGATTATGCAACACGATTTTATAAAATGATTATTAAAAAATACGACATTAATTATAGAAGTCTTTCTGCTTAAATGCTGATATTAAAAGGAGGTGAGGTGAATAACTTAAGTGGATTATTCAGTAAGAGATTGGAAATAAAAAACTACTGGGATTAAGTAAGTCAGATATTAGGAAATAAGATCTTAAGAAAGATTTAATTTTATTTAATTTTATTAAATATGTATATGTACATATACATACAGTTCAAAAAACAATCGCGGATTACCGTTGAATTCAGAAATAGAAGTCGAGAATGAGAAGTGTACGAATAATTTTTGTGCGTAAAAAATGCCTTTTTTTTGTGTTAAGGAAATTTTCTAGTATTTAAAATAAAACTTGTTAATTTTATGTTTAAAATATATGCTCGAAATGTATATCTTTCATTTCAGATATTACATGTTAATTTCAGTTACGTATTTCTCGAGATATTAAGGAATCAACTTGCAATTCATGGGTGTACGAATAAATTATGTGCTGACTGTATATACATACATAACATTCATATATACATACATACATACATATTAAAGTACGATGGAAAATTTACCCAACATTATGTGTTATTTTGTAAATGATATACAAGGTTATGTAACACGATTTTATGAAATGAATATTAAAAAATATACCATTTAATTATAGAAGGCTTTCTGTTTAAATGCTGATATTAAAAGTAGTTTGGAGAATTTATTTTGTTTGGGATGCAAATCATTTTTTATATCGCCATTCGCTTTCAAACCCATTCCAACTCCAGGCTTCCAGCTGAAAAGGCGGGAATAAAGGAGGAATGGGAATGGAGGAATGCGAACGAAAATGTCGCAAGAGATGGAATAATTGTTGTTGTTGTTTCACTGGTGACCTGTTTTTAAGCACACACACACACATATATTCATTCATATTTATAAGAAAGAGAGAGGGAGTAGGAGATAGTTGCACCAGCTGCAGATTCCCTGGTTACACCCCCCTTTCCTCATGCAACATTAAAAAAAAGAAGTTGTAAATTACGTCTGTGTGGTTCCCCAACTATATTGCCATATATTGTGCAATATCCCAAACGTCAGCGTTTGTTGCTCGTGCAATGCTTTTCAATTTTCAATTTTCCACAAAAGCCAAATAAAAAGTTGGGAACGGAGGGAGACGGCATGATGCTGCGCCGCATTTACTGTTAGCAAATGGAAACCAGTTCTCGGAAGAAGAAAAAACCACAAAAGGAGAAGCAGAAATGCTGCCAAAAATTAAATGTTAAGTGGCAAAGTGAAACAAAAATGCATTTTGTGCATTTTCAAAGTAACACGATATAAAAAGAGAAGCAGAAGCCTGCAGAAGATCTTGCAACGGTAAACTGGTTTACAGGGCAAAAAGACCAAAACAAAATACTAAAAAAAACAAAAACAAAATTGCATCCAGAAGATGGAAGCAAATAGAGTGAAAGAGCTGGGGAGGCGTTGGGGTAGTGAGAGCGAGACGGGGGATGGGCATGAATGAAGATGCAAATGAAACCTCAAAATATTTAAGGTTAGCCTTAATATCTCAGGTGCGCTCGAAAAAGGAAAACGAGTACAAGTTATTTGATTAAATATACTAAAAAAAAAGTGTTATTTAATATATAATATATTAATGTAATGGAAAGACTTTTGTATTACAATGTTAGTTTACTTTCACTGCAGAAAAGAAAAGTTCGTAGTATTTCCGATCAGTGTAAGGGTCTGACGGTCAGTCATTCACTCGGTCGGATGGTACACGTAAGGTCTGTCAGCGAATGAAAACCTGTCGGCTCACCTGCCCGATTCCCTGCCCAACGGGGTCGAGCTCATATCTTAATGAGAAAAGTGAAAGTGTCAAGAAATAAGCAAAGCGATGGCCAACAGAGGAGTTAACAGTGAATAAATAAAAAACGCTAAAACGCCACTAAGCCAAAGACGAAGAGAGATATGAAATTTAGTCAGAAATCAAAACGAATCCGGCCGGGTTATCAATTAGCTAAACGATAACCGATTTGAACCCAATACCTTAGTCTGGGAATTTTCGCAAAGATGGCATAGATTTTTTGATTTCTTTCGATTTCATTGATCAATGTTAAGGTCTCATATCATGAAAACTAGGGATAATCACTTTTTAGGTAGTTCAATACATAATTCATTGGCTTTATTTGTGTTTTTTTGAAGTTTTGTTTAATAAAGCTCTTTTTTTCGTGTACAGGTTCCCCTGTGAAACTTTACGATTTGGGTCATGTCTTTGATTGTTTAGCGATTTCTATCGAAAACATCTTAATTAATAAATAATTTATGATCCAATTCATTTGTCAATAAAACCTTGAAAATTGCAAATATGTGGATGAAGTCTAAAGATATGTTAAGGTATAAATCTATCTTTCTGAATGATTTATTTTTTAGCTGGAAGATCTCTTACATTTTACCTATATTTTTCACTGAAGCTATTATTTTGTATTTATTTAAAATAAAATTTTTTAAAATAGTGTGCTTTTTGGTTTTCCATTCTTAAAAGATTTCAGTAGCTTCGAATGATTTCTTGTGATGCACTAACTCGGCAATCTGTTTTGACACTTTAAAAATCATTCGACCAAATATTTAGTTGCACAAATTTTCACATTTTTTGGATCACTTGGGGGGCATTGTTGCTAGTTTTGTGTTTTTTTTTTGTTATGTTATTTTTTTAATGCCATTGTTGATGCTCTTTGCGGTTACTGTTGATGTTAATTGTTTGTTGCTGTTTGCGCTTGCGTCACGCCTGACATTTTGACCATGAACGCATTTCTTGGCAAGGAAAAACCGAAACGCACGGAAGATCGCACGGATGAAATTGAACCGAATGTTGCTCGTAACATTTAAACTTTTATTTTCCATGCCGCCGTGTCTTTCCCCATCTGCCGTTTTATTTCTTTTTTTTTATAATTACTTCATTTGCAATCTCTCGTGTGGCAATAGAAGAAACTACCGTTAATTAAAAACGCAAACGCACGGCCAAATGAGCGCAGGTGAGTGTACACTAGAAGAAAATTTAGTTCATATAGATAAATATCTGAAATATATAACAATTTCTTCATGATATATCCAATTCATCATCTGTTACCAAAAGAACTGATTTATGGGCACTTAAATTTATATTAATAGCAACATTTCTCCCTGTGTAGAGAAGAGAGAGGTTCGCTGTTGTAACAGCGGCGCCAAAATATTTTCACTTGACTTTTGCGGTTGTGTTTTATGGCCCTGCGAAGTTCACCGGGGAACTCAGATCGTAGATACCAACGGAGAAGGGGATAGTGGCTAAAAAAAGGGGGGCAGGGGCGAGGCGAAATGGGGCTGTTGGATGGTTATGTAATGAGGAGAAAATTGACAATAAGACAAAGCGCAAAATACAAACAAAACCTCGTGAGAGACTGCGACACAAAAACTGCAATGTCACTTACCCATTATTAATGCCCCTATATTTGGGGGGATATTTGAGGTAAGGGGGCGTGGCAACCTCATCACAGAGACGCCTCAGACAGATTTACGGACAGACCGGGAGGGTCCAAAACTGTGCCACGGTAATCACCACGAAACCGAAACTGAAATCATAACCGAAAACTGAAAAGCGTGCGGAGGCTGCAATGAATCGTCGGATGCATGTAGTTTATATGCACCTCTAAAACCTTACATAAATCTCACAAAAAAGTGTCAAAATTACAACCAAATTAGTCTTTGTACTTTGAAATAAAATGTTTTAACTTTTTTTATTCATATTATCTTAACTAAGTTGTGAACTATATTCATAAATTGGAAAATTGGGTAATCGAAAGTATAAAGTAAAATAAATATTTTGAAGTTTCTCATTCTGGAAAGGATTTAATATAGCAGAAAATAAAGAAGATCTATTTTGAACTTCGTTTCATAAACAAATTACCCATAAAGTACACAATATTGTTCAGATTATGATAACATGGCCCGCCTAAAAAATTCTTTAAAAGAAATAAGCAAATGACTAAAAGCCTAAAATGGATAAGAAAGTGTTGCCTACTTTTTAGCTTTGTCTAACTAAATAAGTTACTTTGCAAAAGACATTAAGCTATTTCTTATATAAAAACTTACACAATAGTTTCCGATGAAGAAATTAGTCCTCTTAGTCTTCAGATCCACATCAAATCTCTTAATGCAAGGATAATAAACTCCAAGTTATTTTTCGATATGTTTGTGCTGTTTATTTCGACAGATCTATGTGTGCCTTCGAGCGTGTATATCTTAGATATATAAATATATATAGTTGGTATCGGTATACTGGTATACAAAAAAGACGCCTAGCAAAACAAAAGTCCATATAAAAGGACGATACACGTACATATATAATACACTAAAACAGTTAACATCCTTTTCGATTTCCCATTTCTCGATTTGGTAGCACTAGTTTCGTTATCTTTTTTGGAAGCCACGTCTTATACTGCAATCGGGAAGCTTCGAGTCCATATATATATATATATATATATATATATATATATAAATATGTGTGTATGTAGGATATATATCTGTGTATATATATCGGAATTATCACAAATGCTTATAATCTAGCTAAAATAGCGAATAGTTTTGCTTGCTTCAAGCGCGCAGGGATCGTGAGATGCTTGTGGGTGGTGCCTTCGACCAGCTTTGCTCCTCGGCGCTGGCAAAGATCAGGTAGATGAAGTTTCCGGCTATATTCAAGCCCGCTGCCAGCCAAAAGACCAGATGCCACTGGGTTAGGGTCTCGCGATGATTGATAATCAACCCGATGACATAGGGCGCCAGGAATCCACAGATATTGGCTGCCGAATTGGTAATCCCATACATGGTGCCCGCATATCTGGGACTCAGGGCTATGTGATTCATCTGATTGCCAGCGTAGACGGCTCCACCAAATGAGCCAACACCGGCTAGCATAAAGGTGACCCATACCCAATCACAGCCAACGTAAATGATCCCAATCAATCCCAGCGACGGCACCACCGAGGCCACCGTGTTCCATAGTTTATAGGAGTTCAACAGAGATATGTATCGCTTGGCCAGCATCCAATCTGCCAAGGCAGAGCACGCAATGCCCACAAACCAGGAAGTTAGATAAGGTACAGCATTCAGCAAGGCATTCGATTGGATGTCAAAGTGCAGGATGTTGCTCATGTAGGTGGGCAACTCCGTGAGCTGCGTGTAGAAGGCCCAACCCTGGCCGCATTGCGTCAACAAGATGGCCCATAGAGGCACGGATGTGAGCAACGATGACCACGGAATTGGATCATCCGTCCGCCCCCTCAGATTCACTTCATCCTGGTCCTGTCCCTCATCTTCCTCTGGCTCTATTAATTCCTGGTTTATCAACAGCTGAGCCTGCAGACTTCTTTCGATGTACTCTCGTTCAGAATTCGAGATCCTCGGATGATCACTGGGCTTGTCGTACACCAGATACATCCAGGCGATAAACCACAAGATGCCCAGCAGTCCAAAGATATAGAAAGCTGATGGCCAACCGCCCAGAAAGTCCAGGGAGCAAAGCCACCCAGCCAGTGGCATGGATATGACAGTTCCTATATTAGAGCCCGCATAGACGATTGCAGCGAACTTATTCCTCTCCAGCGGCGGGATCCAATGGGCCAGCATAGCGTGCATGGCCGGATAGGTGACTCCTTCACCCATTCCTTCTAGGATGCGGACCAGGACTAGCAGCGGTAGATCCCAGTGGGCAGCCAGCGGTGTAATAAGAGTGAATATAGCCGTGATAAGCACTCCATAGCCATAGATCTTTTTGCCGCCATACAACTCAGCCATTCGTCCACCGGGCACTTGGGTTAGCACATAGCCGTAGAAGAAGCTTCCTAGGACCAATCCCTGCGTGGCTTCGTCCCACACAAACTCGCCTTCCTTCTGGGGATTAGGATCACTGCCATTGTGATTGGGTTCCGGCAGTGGACAGGTGTCCGTATCAATCACTGATGAGTTGCTGTGCGGAATGGCCGTTTGGTTGACCATGGCCACAATGGCCACCGATAGATTCACCCTCATTGCATAGACCACGGCGAATCCCAGGAAGCCCATAAATCCGAAAATGTGACGCGTCTTCGGGCCACATCCATGGTGCTCTGCGGGTAGAAGAATGTAAAAGTTGGATTAGGAGGCGTATCACTTCCGGTTTGAAACTTTTTCCAGTTCTTGATAAGAAATAATTTTATATAAAGAAAAATTCCGTTGATATTGATAAAATAATATCAGATACACATAATTCAACCAATGTTTTTAAGAAATCTGGTCCCTTATATATATAGTTTCCCTAAATAATAATATTTCAGTTATATAAAACACGAGTAGATTTGGATATGAAACCTTCAAAAATATTGTTTGCCATCCGCTCCATTCGGAATATGGATATATACTAGTATAGAAATAAAATTGTTCAAAGATTAGTAAACCAAAACAAGACGTCGTAGCGCCCTACGAATAAATTACACATCGGCATAAAAATTGCATATCAGAAACGTGTGAAATATTATAAACTGGATAATACTGAATATTTATATATACATATATATATATATATATATATCAAAGCTTGTCAGAACAGTGAGATATACAGAGCAATATTAGTCATTAATGAGAATTTTAATTTCTAAAATCGTTTTTAAATGACATATTAAAATATACATAAAACTACAGCTACTGAAAGATAAGATCGTAGTATTAGGATTGTAGGGTTGTATAAAATTATACTATAAAAATATATAAAAAGTTAGCTTGTTCTTATTTATAAATATCATCATGCATTATAATTTAAAACTGATAAACTAAACTGGAAATATACACAGCTTGATTGACTCTTAATTAAAAACATTTATAGAAAAGATTAAAAAGAAAGTATAGCTTAACATATATTGAGGTATCTTTACATAGTATTGCTGCGAAATCATAAAGATCTAAAGGGGATACCCCAATCTGTATCTTAATCATATCTTACTTTTTACAAATAAACCTCAATATACATACATATAAGACAAGCATAATAAAACAAATTAAATCATAAATTATATAAGTATAACCGATTATGAAAAAACTATGTATGTATATACAAAATTGAAAGAAAAAAAAAATTGGACAAACTATTTGAAAGTATCATTTACCACTGTTACATTATAAGGTTCTGAAGTAGTCAACCCGTATCTGTAATATCTTATTAATATCTTCAATTTGTGTATCTTTTATTTACTTACCCTCTGCTGCGCCGCTGGAGCGGATTAGCGGTCGTTCGCCGGAGCAAAACGCCTCCCGTTCGTCATCTGCCTCGTCATCGGAGCGTTCTACTGAAGCGGATGAATTGGAAGAGGACGACGGTCGTCGAAAACGGGATGCGGCCGTATCCTCGTAGTAGCATGTAGCGTCCCTCGAGTCATCCGTCCACTTGTGTGGTGGCATCGTGACGTTTCTAATTGGATTCGTTGTTTCTTATTGGATATGTTGGAGCGTTTGGCAGCGTTCTTTGAGTGTTTGGAGCTGCAGCTGGCAGTACATTTTCTCTGCCGCTCTAACAGCTGTAGTAATAGTTGTAGCACCAACGGCTGCGGGGCCAGCTAGCCAGCGAACGAAAAAGAGAGAGACAGCGGGAACGGGAGCGCGAGCGGACACCTCACCACGCCAGCGGGAATCAGCGCAGACTGATGGACTTCCAACTGGCAACGGGCAGCGGACGGAGCAACAACAAACCTAAACAAAAGGCAAAAGGCAGCAAACGTTGCTTCTAACCCACAAGCGAAACTACAGGGGCGCAGTATTTCAAATTGGTAGAAGGGTTCTTAATAACAGTAAATGGTTAATTATTACATTACGTAACCCTTTCGTATTACGTTTAAGATTTCTATCAGAATATAACAGTTTTAATTTTTTTTAAATAAAATATTTTAAAGAATACTTAAATGATCCCTATTTGCTTGCGCCCCTGGAGTTGGAGTCACCACAGCTGGCTCTCTCTAATGTTTCTGCTCTTCGGCGCTCTCGCTCTCCCTCGTGTGAAAGTGGAGCAATGAATGGTAGGTAAACTACGTCACAGAAGGGGATGCAAGAACGCAAGAGAGTGAGGGAGAAAGGTCCAAAGGAATAAAGGGGGAAGTGCGACAGAGAGGCAGCTACAGAAACGGGCGGTGTGCAAAAGAGATGGGGAGTAAAGAGAGAGCTCCAGTACAATCTTTTTGTTGTAAACTACCTTAAGTACAATAACTTTGTTTAGTTACAGTTATTTCACTTGCCACACACACATTCGAGTAAACGCCCACACAATCAACAGCGATATTGCGTATTTACTTGCACTGAATTATTTGTAAAGAAATTAAAACAAAAACACAACATTCCAGATAATCGAAATCAAAACAGTGAACTTGTACTTAAAACTCGCCTGCACTTACAAAAGGTTATCAACAAAAAGAACAACAACATTAAGAGAAAGGCAAAACATTTGCCAAATCACACATACTAAAACAAGTCCAGTCAATACAATAGCAACAATTAAATATCACACCTAAGTTCCAGTAAAACAAAAGAAATAAGTAAGAAAAATTCACATACACCTGGGAGTTTTCAACTTTTTTCATGGGCTTACAACATTGCAGATAAGATAGAGGGTTAAATTGATCGATTGCTTCATTATGAAATATGTGAAAGGTATATAAAAAGTTATGCTATTATCAAATAAATAAGTAGATAAATAGATTATTTTTTAAATACTTGAAATCATTTAAAAGTTGTCTTATTATTTTGACCCAAAGTGTAGGATTTGCCCTTTTACTGCTTAAATTTCAACTGCTTTGAAGGTGGTTACGTCAAGCAGGACACAAGGACTCGCAAGAATCTCTATACATTTGCGCATGTCCCTGGAAAATAGCCTGTTGCATCCAAAAAGCATAGACCTACCCCAATTCCCCCAGTTCCAGAACGATAGGTTTAGGGATTTTAGTGGACAATTATTGGGAGAGTATAAAAACAGTTCTGGCTTAAGACTTCTCTAAAGTTCAATTGGAATTATATTTAAGATACCATATGGTTCTATCATAATATATTTAAAATAACAAAGACACTTGTAATAAGGAAACATAACTGTTTGACATTTTTAAAGTTTCCACCATGCTACCATGCATATAATTCCAATTGAACTGTGTGAAAAGCCTTTAGCTACATATAAAATGCTTATGGGAGGTATTTTAAAGTATTGCTGAAAGAGCACCTGGTTATGTTCCGTTCCTGATAACCGAATTCCAGACGATCTCCATTATTAATTGGCGAATATGGTGCCCACTGGGAACACGATGATTCTCCGTTTGCCGCTGACCACAAGGGATTCGTAGTGGTAGTTCTTTTCCAGGAGGACATCATTGCGATTAGCACTAAAGGAATCCTTAATTGGACTTAAATCCGGGTTGAAGCAATTGATAGCAACAACATCAGATGGCAGTCGTGCTATCAGCTCGTAAGCGCAGGACAGTTTCTCATTCCATAGGCTAACCTGGCCATAAGGCAAGGGATCCCTTTTGACCAAATCTCCGGCTTCCTTGGCAGTGCGGAAAGTATGAAGCGTCACTACTCCTGTGGCTCCGGTTCCCAGGTAGCTGTGCACGCAATCGTAGACCAAAAGGGGGGATTCTCCAGCCTTTAGGTTTTCTCCTCTGACCACCTTAGCCTTCAGCTGATCGATCTTGGCCAGCGTGTTGATGTAACTTGGATTCTTGGACACTTCCTGGGGCAGCGTACGAAGATCCTGAGCCACCAGACCAACAAACTGATCGGCAACGCTTTCCTGAAGCAACAAAGTGGCCACAGATCCCGCGGCAAACGGATTCTGCAGGGATTGAAGTAACTGCTGGCGTGCTGAATGCAGATCTCCGTCTTCAAAAACGATCATCAGCTGGGGAGAACGCCACTTGGGGTCACTGGGGATCGCTTCCACCTTGGGGATAAAAAGTATGCTATTAGGATTGATGGATTTCACATATTTATGAAGGAATTTAATTTGGTACCAGTTCACCCTAGTGTACTACTATTAAAGATGCTACTATGAGTCGAAAGCCTCAGAGGTGACACCTTCAGTTTAAACATATAGATTAGTAGTTCCCCCTAAGGAGCTATAACAATTATCCGATATAGATAAATAGAGGTTCATCGTGTCTAGATCTGATCAAGGTTATGTCTGGAACCCGGGAACTGGAACTGACCTTGGTTTCCACCTCCTTAGATGACGCCTGCAGCTGGTTTACCATGTCGCTGGTGATCCTGGTAACCTGGTTGTTGGACTGCTGGGATTTGTTGGAATTACTGGCCATGCTATGCTCCCGGATTCCTTAGATCGAAAAGTTAGAACCAATACCAAATGGAATCGCCCGATCAGCTGCGTTATCAGCGGCTCACACACACATACACACTCAGGGAAGATCGCTGATAATTTGAAATACCATCATTTGGTATTTATTAATTGGTATTTTATCTTAATCTTTGTGCGTTTTGCAGCACTTTTTAAATTGTTAAATCAAAACTTTACAAAAATTTAATGTATAGCTAATTAAGAAGAAATTAAAGATAATCAGAAGTGTAAATTATTTGTTTTAAATTGTTTTTGGCAATGGTTAAATACAATTCAGCATTGTTTTATGTTATTGGGCTTCAAATCTTTGAGTATTCCATCTTTTAGAAATAAACGGCTTGTAAATTCTTTGTAAAATGTTGTAAAAACATCTTAAGCTTTTTAAAAATATGAAAATCTTAACGAAAATGACTGTCCAAAAACAAAAACACAACAATTTACTTCGGTATTTTGATAACGCATCGCAAAGGTCCCACTAAAACCCGCGCTGGAATATTTTAACGGTACCCCAACGGTCACACTGATTACAACATCCGAATTTTGATTTAAATTGCAATCGGTCGTGTTGCTGCGCTGTTGGCACTGAAACGAATCCAAAAAAAGACAAGCTATTTTTTTAATTTTTAAATATTGATAGCTGTTACTGTGCCACAAAGTTTTTGTCCAGTATTGTTAACGCCCCCGCGCAGAAAACAGAGATTGCAAAATAATCAAAAAAAAAAAGATAAAAAAGAGGGAAGACCAACAAGTGCTCTTACACACACACACACATACACACACGGCGAAACAATTGCGAATGCGCTTTTTGCACCAATTGAAAGTGAATTGCAAGTGAAAATAGACTAAAAGTGGAACAATTCCGAGCAAATTGTTGCACACGAAAATAACAAAACAGCTGTGCGCCGTTATTTTTTTGTTGTTGTTTGTTTGTTTGTTTTTGTTGCCTGTCCCCGGTGCGTGGGAGAGCTAAAGGTGTAAAGGAGACAGAGATAGCGGTAACCGCTGCATCTGCAATATTTACTGATAGTAAGAGCGAGCGAGAAAGAAGGACATCATGACCGACCTCAACGAGTTAATGGGATCCCCATTTGTGCGTGTGAAGGTAAGCAAGCAGTGTATTTCGTTGCGGGAGACAAAATTGCTGTTGTAGTTGTCATTGCACTCCAGCATCCAGTAAGCAGTGCTTTATGCACCGCCCCCCACAAAGCAGAATGCATTTATGTACAGCTGCGGCCGTTGAAATAGCAGCTATGGGCGGCTATGGAAAACTTCTTGCTTTTAATCGAAAAATAAACAAACAAAACAGATAAAATACTCACAAAAATAAACATAAAGAATTGATTACAAAAAATTTGACAGTTCTGAAGGAAATAATGCAAGTGGGCGGATATAAAAAGTACTTACTACTTTTGGGAAATAATAAGCAAATAAATAAAGATAAGACTAAACGAATCCGGTTCTTGAATGCTTATTTATGCATTGTATTTTTGGCTTTCAAAATAGATAAACAATTGTAGAGATCCGGTGGCGTGACAAAATACTTAATTCTTTTAGATAAATATGTATATGTATATAGCTGCGGTTGAAATAATAGCATATAGAAAATTGTGCATTTTGGATAAAAAATTACGAAATATAATAGAGCTATTTTGGCCTTCCTTTTTTTATATTATAGAAATGTAAATTAACCCTATAACACAGAAGTCGTTATATGCACAGCTGAATGAATATAAAATTGAATGGAAAATACTTCAGAAAGAAAAACAAAGTTAAAATAGAAGTGCACAGCTGTGGCTAAAAAAATAACAGAGGGTTATATAGTAGGACTTCTTGTTAATTCCACATAAAAAAGAAGAAAAATATATAAATGCTAATGTGACGACCACAACTGTTGGTACTCTCACTTGTTGGGCCTCCTTGGGTTAATGGCCAGTCACTCGGGAGGCGGTGATTAGCACCCCAAGTAGTTAACCGCAAATGACAACCGATACGAATACGATATGGACTGCAATCGGGGACTTCGCCACCGGATTCGTGGGGCTTCACTTGGCACTAAACCGCTTATGATTATGCTTATGTGTTAACCAGATAACGATATATATATTTTTTTTCCATATTTTTCCTTCTTTTCACTATAAGTTTTACTTTACTATCTTACAGCTTGTTGCCTTTGTGCACTTCTTCTTCATCTCGAATGCCATGCTAGGAAGTTGGGGCCACGGGGCGTATGAGTTCTACAACTTCCTATTCATTATAGCCATGTTTTGGACGATACACAGCAAGGATTCCATCGAAGCGGTACAAACGGTAAGTTCGATCAATTGATCCAGGTTTTGATTTCCACAATTGAGTGCGCTCTTCAATTAAATCATTTAATTGGCTTGTTATACACTGCCAGCAGAGGGTATTATGACTATGAGATGATGATTGTTTTTGATATTAGTTTATTTTTAGATATTTATTAGTTTAATTCTATGAAAACATTGATTATATGATCTTATATGTTAAATTTGAAACAGATTCTTTCGTCTTTGTAGATGTAATCGAAATACTCGATCAGTCTTTTTCATTATCACTGATTATTATCGATAAAAAATCAGTTTAAATAGAAGTTTTTTTCTTTTCTTAAGGTACTTAAACCCAATTCAATTAATCACAATCACCATAAAGTTTGCAGGGCCATTGCTTTTGTATTTTCGACTTTTGATATATAAAAGACAGCTCTTTATGCACAGCCTATTGTGAGTCATTTACTTTTTTATTTTTTGATGGGTCTGTTGTGTAGATAAGGGCGCCTATAAAGTACAGAGAGTGTTTATATGTGTGACTATTGTGTTCGTCCAATTAATTCGAAAATATTCGCCTAGCACTTCCCCTTGGTTTTTGCGCTTAGGCTTTAATCAAAAGCCCGACGACGACTCACACTGATATCACCTCGAAAAATTTGCTAAATCGGCTAAACCGGTTCCTCAAAAAGAAACGCCAATCGTCAATTAGCATACACATGAAAAATATAAATAACAAATGTTCTCACTAAAATAGTTTGACGACTAACAGGTGCCGCAGAGAGCGAATCAAGATTAAAACAATGAATGCACTGATTGATTGGGATCTTGATGATGCAGTCGCTATACGTTATTGTGATTAATCATGACAAATAGTATAGGAATTAATCTGATTTTGTATTGAAAGTAAAATAGTGTAAATAGCTACAATAGCAGCCAAGAAATGAGTAACTTTTGCTTAAAGACTTTACTGTTTTATTATTATTTTGGATTTACCAGCAGTATACCATTTAAAAGTGAATAGTAGTAGATAGTAGTAGTATCTCTTACTAAACTTATATTTTTTTATATAAAAACAACAAAGCTAGGACTAAACTAGAACACACAGATTTGCCATATAAACTTAGATCTTAGAAAGAAAAACTTCTGGCCACGATAAGATAACACATTTGGGTTATCCAACTAACAAAGTCTTTGTCGTTTTCATAATCTAATTTACAAGAGAGGATTTTGGTATTTAAATATAGAACTTACTAGAATAAAAGCTATATCTTTTTGTTAGGGAAAATTCTGGTTCTGCTTTCGGCTAATGCCAAAAGTTGCGGCACAGTTATGGCCAATCAATTTGCTCGCTTATGGGTTAACTGAGCTATAACAGGTTCCCCCACACCTCCGGCTTCCCCTCCCTGATCTTTAATCTCTAATGTTCTGCTACACTCCCCCGCCGAATGGCTTTAACCCGTCAAGTGGCATGGCCAAAATAATAAAAACAAAACGGAACCAAATCCGAATCTGAACGCGTGGAGGTATGCTAATGAAAGTGGATTCTACTCGAATTTACACAGGAAAAAATAAAAAGTGGGGATATTAATTAGTATTTCTAATAGTTAAAATATTAAGATTTAGGAATTTAAACATAGGAAAGATAGAAGTTTGTAATTAATTTAGTTTTTTTATAAAATATATAAACTTACTTCTTTTTCCCTCTGTAGAAATAAATGAATATAAATATTTTCACCCAGAAGTCCTGGTTTTTCGATGGGATTGCGTGCTATGTTTGAGGGGCATTCGTGTATTAATAGATGAGTTAGCTGTAAGTAAAGACGGTAAATGTCTCAACTTTGACCTTAGGCCGACCGAATAGTGACCAACATCGCCAACGAAAAGCCAACACTTCAGCCAAACCAACCACTGCCCATCTACCTTTCTGTTTCTTGTTATTGTGCCACCAACCTGCAAGGACCTTCTACACGCGATTGCCATTTCGGGTCACAGGCCCCTGGGCTTCTGCCATATATGTATAAATCGGGCGGGCATTACGATTACGATATACCCATTTTAACGAGAATTCAAGCGAAACAACAAGGATTCCCTGGGAAAGCGTGGTGCTTGTTGTTTTTTGTTTGCTTCCTCGAAAGCCATTAGCAACGCCACTTAATCAACTCAACTCAACTCGATGTCAAATCCTTTGAAAGCCAGAAGGCATTACATTTCTTTGCTCCCGCGCTCTGGCCAAACAGCGAAAGAAATAAAAAATCAATGAACATAATTTATTTAATTTCAAATATGTAAATTGTTGTTTGCAACAACTTGAAGAGTTCCCCAAAGAATTCTGTTCGGAGCAAAGTGGGGCAAGGATTTTGTCTGGGAAGGTCTTGCGGTTTGGCTATTTGAATTTCAACATATGTTGTCCATTTCAGTTAGCCAACGTATTATTACAAGAAAAGGACACGTGTATAATGAGCAATGAATATGGGAAAACTTAGGGTTCTTTTTAAGAGTTTTAGATAGGTATAGTCAGTCTTTAAGCTGTGCGTTTTATTTGGTCAAAGTTAGGACTAAAAAACCGCTTTGAAATATTGCAATTGCTGTTTCCATAACTAAGCCAAAAAAGGTCGAAATATGGAATGCAATACCTCGTTGTGTTTGTATTTTAATTCTTATAATTTCTGCATTCACAGTTAAAAAAGTAAAAAATTCAATTTTTTACAAAAAATGATCATGGTACACCTTATCAAAAAAGCAATATCTGTTTTCTCCATATTTGCCCCCCAAAGCGACAGTATTTTTCTCATTACTCGGCCAATAATGGTCCAAATATGGAATGTAATACCTCGTTGAGCTTGTTTTCTTTTTCTTATCAAAACTGCATTCACAGTTTGAAATGTAAAATTTGGGCCAGTTATCGAAAATTTGGATGATGTACCCCTTATCGAAAATGCGATTTTTGGTTCTTTCGCATTCTTCAGTGTTTTGCTCATAACTTGGACAATAATGGTCCAAATATGGAATGTAATACCTCGTTGAGCTTGTTTTCTTATTCTTATCAAAACTGCATTCACAGTTTGGAATATAAAATTTGAGCCATTTTTCAAAAATTTTGATGATGTACCCCTTATCAAAAATGCGATTTTTGGGTTCTCCGAAGCATTTTGCTCATAACTTGGCCAATAATGGTCCAAATATGGAATGCATTACCTCGGTAAGCTTCTTTTTTAATTCTTAACAGATCTGCATTCAAACCTAGAAAAATATTTTTTTGCCATATTTTTTTTAATTTATATTGCGACATACTCCTTATAAAAAATTAAAAATTTGGGCAAAATTTTATTTTTTGAAAGTTAGCATAGAAGCTATGAGGAAAGTTAGTTTAAGTCGTTAGAAAAACAGTTACCCTTTAAGTTGTGGGTTTTATTTTCATTAAGTTATTTCTACTTTTATCAAGGTACTAAATTGTATTCAAAAAACCATCTGCCTAAAAGTGTGCTACAAAATAGAGGGTAATCTTTCACAGCTTAAACTTAACTTTTAAGTTGATTAAGAAATCTTATAGTATGTACAAATTCAAGCTAAATTAACAACTTACCAGAATTTAAAAAAATCCTTAATCCTATATCCTTTATCACACCATTTCCCCCATATTCATGTTGTATCATTTCGTATCTCTTTGCAGGCGCTCGTCATCAACGCTTCTAGCATTTTCTTTGATATAGTCAGCATTGCTCTTCATTATGGTATCATGAGTAAGTCATCAGCCAGCCCTATCAATACCATTGATATTTACATAAAATATTTCGTATTCTATATATTTAATTTGTTTTCCTTCTTTTAGATGGCTGGGCCATTGCCTTTAGCATCATTAATCTGATCCTGCGACCTGTGAGCGTGGCCCTGCTCTATAGGGAGTTCAATACAAGGGGTGGAACCCTGCAGACTGGATCGGTCTTCCCAACTAGCCAGCAGCGCAGCTATCAGGACATCGATCGGCCAACACAGCCCACACCGACCAATTCGCAGCCTGGTCCCAATGTGGCCAGCATCTTCTAGGCTCTCCAAGACCCTTCCAAGTACCTAGACACACCACCACCAACACCATCACATCGTTAACACTAAGGAGACAGCGAAGGATCGCTGAGCATCCTCGAAACGGAACAGCAAAGACAACCAATTTATATAGAAAGACTCCACTAGTCAGTGTCGCTGCCTGCTAAAAATGAAGAAAAACAAAAGAAAATTCCCCGTGAAAGCGATTCAAAATAATATGTGTTGTAGTTTTTTTTTTTTTATCAAAGGAGCGTTGTTTTGTTAGTGCAATATATTGTGAGAGAGAGACAACGATTAAGGTTAAGCATTGTGTAGTTAAAAAATATGGAAACGGAATTTCAAAATGAGAAGAAAACTGTGTGCGTGTTTTCCTTGTCCCATATAAACATTTTTTTTTACGTTGTTAACGAATCAAGACGGCTAATCAAATAAATGATACATATATATATATATTTATATTCGTATTTGTATAACAAAGATTACAATTCTACTTTATACTTATCCTAGATAACGTTAACGCTATTTGTAAACTGTAAACTGTAAAACCCAACAGAATATTCGAAAAATAAAAAGCGGGCGTCATCGTTTGTAAAACAATAAATAGAGCAACTGTCTCTTTCCTACCTCCTCCTCCTCCTCCTCCTCCTCCTCCTGTACATTGAATGATAAACCCCCCTGATTAACCCCCCTAGAAACCCTCCTTGGCCGACCGGAACTTGTACTTGTTGCTACGCCCGTCCAGACAGGGAACCTGCACCAGATTAAAGTAGATGGAGCCCATCAGCTGGGAGGCCGAGGTGTTGGTCATCTTCAGGCAGGAGAACAGCATATCATCGCAGATGCAGTGGGATCTGTGGAGAGATTTTATCTATTAGATAACCCATACTTAAGAGATTTCCCAACTCACTTTGTGTACAAAGAATCATTCATCAGTTCGTATTTGTGCTGATAGGCTCGGATCTTGATAGGGCACAGATCATGTTGGCGACAGCATCGATCCATGGCCATTTCGCTGCCAAGATCGCTGTACGTCTCTGCGATATCGCCAGTGCCACACCATTTTGTGCCTGTTGAAAGAAAACAATATAAGATCATTATATTCCATGGATAGTTAAGCCAAACTTCACCTGGAATAATCCCACTCAGCAGGGAGAAGGGACTGCGTGGAAAGATATTGGTGGCCAGCTTGAGGGCTACCCCATCATTGGTGCCATCTGTGGAATCATCTCCTCCACTGCCATTGCTACGTTCACCACCCTCCAGCTTGGACTTGTAACGAGAGGCGTAGGTCAGCTTATCCACATGCTCGCACTGATCCATCAGCTTAAGCATCTCATCAAATTTGATTTCCAATGGGCGATTATAGTGCGAGAGTCCCTCCAGCAGCATCTTGCCCTCCTTGTCATTGCTGGGGATTAAGGAAAAAGAGGTTATTAATAAGCCTTTCCATGTGATTCTCATATTTCTTAGCTAAGATCAAGGCAGTTTCCCTAAATAAAATAAAAATATTTTCTTTTACTATTTGTAAAAGTACTAAGCTTGTGATATCACATTCGGCATATTAGATTATTTAATTTTCATAAACGTGATAAATCGTTAGCCTAATCAAAAATTCAAGGCATATCCAGTGGACTTTCTGATCAGCTGTCCACGTAAATCACTCAAAATGATACTTCCGGTAAACCTTGATTTCTGCTAAACAGGGAAGTGTATGAAATTTTGCACAGAAATTTGAAATAGTTTAAATTTGGATTTAGGGTTATCTAAAAGCCTAAACTTTCTTGTACTTACTAGATTTCGATCAGTTCACAGCCGAGTAGCAGCTTCTGGGGTCCCAGCTCCGTTACGGCTATGGTCAGATCGTGATAGTATATCATAATGAGGGAGTCGTTGCTCACCCGCTTGCCGCTGCCGGAAAAGAGAGTACACAGAAAGAAAAAGATAATGAATATAAAATTATGAAGATTTTAGGAAATTTCTAAAGGAATCCTAATTACAAGCTAAAAAAAATTCGAAAAAAAGAAAACATAACTAGACTGACAATATTAAAATCCCATATAAAGCTAAGTTTTTCTTTCTGTGCAGGTAGATTGCAAAGAGTTTTGAGTGAGAGCTCAAGCACCGTGCTGGGTTTATGGGCACATGGCCAGGCGTCCGACCGTGCGGATACGTGACGTCCATGGCAATGGACCCGACGGGCGAGTGAAACCCTCTAGACGTTCGTTGGTTGACTGCTAATCACAGTCCGGATGGAATGGCTAGCCACTCGGTTGCACGTCTTCAAAAGGCGCACGCTGTGTTGGTCAGTAGTCTTTCTCTATCTCTGTACTAACGACCTTCTAAGCGATTATCATAATTATCAGCTAAGGAGGGTAAGTATCTTAGGATATTCTTTAGCGATCTATGATAACAGTTTCTTTTATATATATTTTAGATTAATCCCAACTCACCTGTACGTCTTCATCTGCCGAACGCTGCGCTGTTCGATGATCTGTTGGGTAAACGACTGGAACGAGGGAAATCCCTGGAGTCCTTGTGGCAAACTGAAGGGTAACGTTGGCTTGGCCACCGCCTCCGAGGTCAAATAGCCCAAGAGACCGCAGAAGAGCAGCGAGGCGAGCAGCTGGAGGCGCCGTCGCAGCCAGAGATTGTAGGGCATCTTGCCGTTGGTGGTTTCTTCGAATCTGAAGGAGCTGCCACTAAGGCATCGCCTGCTGGACTGAGCCGCTACCCAAAAACACCGACAACGACGTGTCCAGGCAAACTGTTTCCAGTGCGAAAGAGATGGACTCCTGTGTTTTTATTCTTTAATTAATCAGCTGGAGAAGTTCGCGCTGGTCGCTATTAGTTCGTACTACCTTCGACTGTTTGCCTAAGGATAGGGTTTAAGGGTCAAGGGTCTGTTGTCTGGGGCTGCGTGTCAAAAGTTGGAGGCGTCGCCAAACGCTTTTCAATTATTCAAACGCTCATTCACCATACACACAGAAGTCCAGAAGTCTTTATGTGCTTAGAGAATAGAGAAAAAAAAGTATTTAGCAGATTAATTTATGAACTATTATGTTGGAAATATGTGCTTACACCAGAAGAAAGCTCAAATAATTCAGATATATTTCAAATTTAAAGTTACGAGAGTAAAGTGAAAGTGAAATTGTTGTTGAGTTTGCAATTGTTTTGGGTTTGAATAATGCGCTTCTCATACTTATTAGCTGGGGGGAGTAATGAACTTGCCAAGCTAAAAAAGAAAAGGTTATTCAGCCTAAAACTATAAAAATCATTTCATCACATAGGAAATCGACTGCAATTTGCTGACAAAACAAGTTTTGTATAAATTTCTTCATGTGCAAATTGAAAAGAGCAAAGGGGCCCGTCCGCCGGTTGGTCAACTTCCCAGCAATAGCCAGCGGTACTACCATAGCAGGTGCCAAAAACCGCGACTCAGGTGACCTCGTTCCCAGCCCTGGGAATAACAACAAATAGAGAGGATCCGGCAAAAACAATGACTACTGACTACACGCGTTTCTCTACTCCAATCTGACAGATACATATATATATATAAATGTTATATATATCATATATTGCATCAGGCTGAACCTTAGCCAAGAATCGGTCACGCCCAGCCATTAGCTGGCAACCAACAGGGCGTATACGTGCAACACACATTACGTATACGCAACGCTGACAACCAGACAATGGTCTATCATTGTGGCAATACAGTACAGGCCGGGGCGTATTGACAAATATGTTGCCAATTACTAAGCTAGTGGCCAGGTGGGCATGGGAATACAGATTGCAACTAATCGGTTTCCCATTCAAATCTGACTTGCATATATATATAGTGTATGATCATTGAATTAAAGTCGCTTTTTATAGTTACTAAATCCAAAAACAATTTGACTTTGCTGATGAGTTGATAAGGCTTGAATTTAGGATAATCACTCAATGCCAAGCTATTAGTTTGGATTTGGTTTGGGAATGAGTTGAATATAAATAAAGTTTTTACTATTTTTGGAAGGAAATTTGAGTTCAGACTTCAGTTTCCTATATAGAACTTGTTAGAAACCTTTAAGAGAGATATTTTCCTGCCCTCTTAATACCTTGATCTATTGCCAACCTTTTGCAATCTCAACGCCAAACTGACATCATTGCCAGACATCTAAGGTCATGGGTTAGTTGTCCCTTGACCTTAGCGTGGCCTGGCCTCTTGGCCACTTTAATACAACGAACTAGCAGTAAGCAAACCCCCATCCCCTTGTAAAAACCTTTTTTGCCAATGGCCTGAACACACGCACTAGCAACCTGCTAATAAAGCTGCCAAAATGTCCCCTAAAGCAACACCTTTTCCCTGTCCTCAGCCACTCATTCATTTATTATTATTATTATTATTGTTTTTTATTTTCTCTGCCTCTTTTTTCCTGTCATCGCATAAACATATTTCTTTTTGTTGTTTTGAAATCACGAAAGTTTACGCAAGTTTTTTGGTCAAGAAAGGTAGTAGATGAAGAAGGGGGGACAGCCGAGGTGGCCCTGTAGGTGAGCAAAGTGAAAGTGATTCCATTGGAACAGCAACTTGGCCCCATGATTTCGTGCCATTTCAATGGCCAACTATGCATATGGCCAATAAATGAGATGACGATGCCAGTGGTGTGTGTGGCAATGGACCTTGCGTGAAACTACTTATGACTCCACCCACTACACTCAACCACGCCTCTCTGGCCCCTTTGGGATTATAAGAAAAAGAGGCTAAAAATACACAGAAAATAATTGCATAACTATCTTTCTTTTTTTTTTGGGGAATGAAGAAGGTATTATTAAAGAAGATTTAAGTGCTATGAAAATGAGAGTTTATTTTACTTTTTTTAAGTTCAATTTTTAATACTTTTTTTAATTTCTTTTTCAGACAAAATCTAAGCTTTTCCTTAGTTTTTTTCAGGTGTACTGATACAAAAAATCACCAGGTTATGTATGTCAAGTGGAGCAGTTGACGACTGATCACCGGTTAGTTCAATGCTAAACGAAAATGCAAATAGCCAAGTCCAAAAAAAGAGAGAAACAAACACGGTCGAAACGAATCTGCAGCGGAAAATCAGAGGTCCAGCCATAGACCAATATGGTCAAAATGGTAATTGTGAAATTACGAGTTCCGGAATAACCTGAATGCTACCTTAATTTTCGAATCAAATTGCTGGCTAGAATATTACTTGCCCATTCAGGCCAAAAGTTTCCATTAAATGTGCTTTAATTTTCGGGCTTAGGTAATTTAATTTTAATTACTTTTAACATCAATTAAAAGCTGACTTAAACCTCTGCTTAACTCAGATTTTAAATGGTTTTTTAAGCAATTAAAAATTGTAGAACAAATTATCAAAGAACTTTAAGAACTAAAAGCCTTGCAAGAAAATATTTAAACTAATAAATAATAAATAAAAAAATCAATGTTAGCTTTTATTTAAATCAGGAAGTAAGCAGAGCAGATGAAACACATTTCCTGATGTGCTAATTATACTATTTTATGATTTTAAGCTCTAGTTCTATTTCAATAAAGTTGTTTTTAGTCACTGGACTTAAAGTCCATAAGGTCCATGAATCATTCTACTTCTAAACGGGTTAGGATAGGTTTTTAGCACATTTTCAACTTGGCTCTAAGCTCTGGGTCAAAACAAATGCTTTTTGTTATCTAAAATTTTTTTTTTTTTATCCATTTGTTAAGACAGCAAAGCTCAGATTAATAGCATTCGAAAAAGTAAGCTACAGTTGGAGAAAACAAATTTAAAGAACTTTCTAAGCAGAAAATATTGGAAATATAATTTAAGTAAATAAATAAAATATTTACAAAATTATTTTTGTATTAAAAACTTAAGTTTTATAATCTTGTTACCAACTAATAATGTTAAAGTACATTTTTATATAATAAATAATACTTTTCTAGCTTTATAAAGCCGTATCAACCTATTAAAAAGTGTCGCCTCATTCGCCATTGGAAACCCAGTTTTATGGCGGAAGTGGAGGAAAAAAAGAAATCAAATCGAAGTGAAATAATAAATGGGATGAAATTGCTCTCGAAATTTCTAACAGTTTTCATCGCTGATAGCCACTAAATGGGACCCGAGATGCTGCCAACGATAATGATGGTAACAATGTTGGTAACAAAAATAGCAGCAACAACAACGAAAATAAAGATGATCATCATAATGAAAGCTCTGGGTTTCGCTTTAATTTCTTCTATGTTTCTTATACTTTTTCCTCAGCCTCAGTTTAAGATGAATCTCTGAATGGGTCTCTAAAGATCATCTTTAATGCAGCTTCTTAAGTGCCTCACGACTTGGACTTCCGCCGTAGCTTCACCAACTAAAAACAAGCTAAACGAAACTTGGCCAACTTGAACTTGGCTGGTGGTATACGAGATTTTTTCGCCAACACTTTTTTTTTAAATGCCGGCGAGAGTTCGCTGGTCGAGTTCAAAAGTGCAAAAAACAACAAAAAAAATTAGTAAAAAGAGAAATACAAATGCGGCATCAGCTGCTCGAGGGCCTTGGCATAGGTCAGTGAAGCGTAGTATGGCCTAAACCCGAGACCGCCCTGACAGCTTTTCTTTTAGTTTTTAAATACCCTAAAAAGGGGGGTCTACAGCTTGTTAAAAATTTTGGAAATTTATATGGTTTTTATAAAAGTAAATCAAAATAATTTTAAAATACTGAAAAATATCTAAAAATTATAATTAAAGTTTCATAATCTCTCAAAGAAAGTTTACAAAAATATTTATTTAATATAAATAAGTTCCCAAGCATTATAAACCCTTAAAAAATTATCAAAAAAAACTTTAAAAAATATAGAAAAAAATTCTAGAGTATGCCAAACATCGTTTTTGCTTTTCCAACTTCGCTAACATTTATTTTTCTTGTTTTCCCGCCGCTGAGGGAGTGCAGTAAAAGTGGCCATGGCTGCAGATGAGCCACAATACGGCAAACGAACAACAACAACAACAACAACAAAACACAGAAAAAAATACAAGCATAAGACCAGCGGCTAAATACAGAAAATAAAAAGAAGCAACAGGTTTCCAGCTGGTGTTTTGGATCTTCGGATCTGCCTTAACTTTCACATTGGGCACCTAATTGTGGGCTTTAATCTCGGTTAATTTGCTCCAGTTTTGATCTGGGCCTGTGCCGTGCCACCGAAACCAGGCACTGCGAGATGCGAATGAGAAGTGTGCACATGGTTGGTCATGGCTTCCGAATTGGAACTCCTATGGATTATGCAACTTTGGGGTAAGGGGATGGAGGATGTTGTACGAACATCCAACGATCCAAGTCGCACTTCACATCTGCCCGCTAATCCGTCCGGCGATTGTCATTATGAGCATTCTCTAGCCATTCCCATTCCCATTCCTATTTATGCCACACAAAATCCATTGTGTTCATGGCCAGAAATCAGTCATATTGTTTACGATCTACATGTATATACTATATAGCTATGGCTATTATTTATAAACCAGGCGTATACGTAACAAAGTTTATGATCCGTATCATGGTCAAGCCACTAAAATCTGATTTTATGCTGAGGGTTTTGAGATAAAAAAGTACTTTTTTATAATGATTTCGTTTACAAAATTGTATAGCCCTGTCTGCAAAACCTATGACCTTTGAAAACGAAGCGAGTTTATTAATTATATGGGCTATGGTTTAATATCTTTAACTAGCTATGTTCGGTTGACTAAGAAATTAATCTGACATTGAAATGAAATAAGAACTTTTGTTTAGATTAACTTATATATTTCATTCAGTTACAAAGCAATTTAAAAACATTTTAAAATCCAGCAAAGTAATCAAAAAAGTAACTCTTTTGTTCTTAAAATTCTGCTCAGCAAACGCAGTAAAAGTAAATTAAAATTCATCAACTGTACAGTTTAGCCTATTTTAGGGTTCTTTAACGTATCTCCTTTTCTTACAGTGCAAAACTCTTTAACTTCTCGATCAAGTTCGGCCATAAAAGGCAACAACGGCAACAACAACTCTGGGAATTTGCCACAGATTTGCAGATATCCACTGAGTCTGCACTTTTGAACTTGCGCGCCATTTTTATGGCCAACATTAACCACAAATGCAACATCAGCATCAAGAGCTAAAGATCGTGTCTTCACCACTAAAAAATCCTTTGATATTTTTACCAAGATTAATAGCTGTTTAAGTTTTAAAAATATAAAATAGATGAAGTCAAGGGCTACTATGGAAAGCCAAAAAAAAAGAACAAAAAAACATAAAGAAAGCCCTTATGTACAACGCAAACTATTATACCTAAAAAAGCAATTCTAAAACCACATTTTATATACAAAATTTATATATTTTAAAAACCACAACTTAAGGCACAACCAGCACATTTCCAAAACTAAGCACTCAGAACTGTTTTTAGTTTTCAGTTTTAATTCGTATTAATTTCTTGTCTTGGTCAGTTTCACTTTTTGCACACTCACAGCGAAAAAAAAAACGAAAATCAATTGAAGGCCTATATATTTTCCACCGATTCGGATGAGGCGCATGCGCAACCGCAGTGGCAATATAGCGATATATAAGTAAGTATATATATTTAATCTGAACAACCGGCGCAGCAATGGCAATGCAAACCGCTCGCTGCCGCGCAAAGTCAGCAACTAACTGATCGATCGGGCCCAAAACCAAAACCAAAGCCAAAACCAAAAGCCAAGAGAGCCGAGAAACTACAGACAACAACAAAAACTGAACAAAAAAAAAAAAGAAAATAAACGACAACTTTGAGCGTCGGCGGCAACGAGACAGCCGCGAAAATGTGTCAAAAGCAAAAGCTGAGCACAGAACGCAGGTGGAAAAGTAAAAGGCACCTGCTAGTACCCTAGGAAATAAATAAATTAATGAGAAAAATGTAAAAAGAACAGTCACAAAAATAGATTATATAACTATTTAAGTTTTAACAACGAATGCTTTACCATTTATCTTTAAAAGCCACTTAATAAACGGGGAGAAACTATTTGATTTAACAATTTCTTAACTTTAAAGCATACCTATATTAACTTTGTCTTAAGTTATATTTATAAAATAAGAGAAGAATTTAGTTATTAATTCCGTAGAACGAGATACAAGTAATCTGCTAAAGTCAACCAGTGACGCGGCCTTTTCTAATGAGTTGCCATTAACTGGGAAAGATTTTTATACTTTAAGGGACTTTTTTATAAGTACCTTGTAAACATTTTATATATATGATCAAAGCTCGGTTTCACCAAGCCAGCAATTAATTACCAAGCTAGCTGATCTGTGAAAATAGCATTTTAGTTTAATTTGTATGGCTAAATTATCCAATTAAGTTTTTTTTTGGTTATCAAGTTTAAAGTGGCCATAAAAACTATTATACCAAAGTAAATTTTGAACCAAAAATATAAAATTAAATCAATAAAACGTTTATAAAAACTACTCATTTACTTACTAGGTATCCACTCAGCTGCATCCACCAACCAAGTGCAACTTTTGGCAGCTTTGATCACCGATGAGTGAGTGGAGTGGGCGGTCTGAAGAGTGGCTGCTGCTGTGCCGTGCTGTTGCTGCTAAGATGTTGTTGCGGTGCTGTGATGTTGCTGTTGTGCAGTTGCTGATGTGTCTGATGCCGCTGCTGTGCTGTTGCCGCTGCTGCTGCTGCTGCCGTTGACCCATTTTAGACCAACTCCGCGGCAGACGCGTTGCATTGCCAAATGCCGATCATCGCAGACGCGCATCGTCGTTACTTGGGCCACCAAGTCCAAGCGGTCCATCATTTGTGGTCGCTGGCAAAGTGAAAACAATGGCAAACAACTTTTACAATGTCAGCGTCTGTGGAGCTAAAGAAAAGTGACAGTGGAGCGAGCAATTAAAAATGGTTTTACGCGCCGAAAGAGACGCACAAAAAGGTAAACACTGCCCCTGTTAAAGGTGCTGTTGTGCAGGGGCATAGTACAGTAAACATGCGCTAAACTAAGCATATAAACAATCTCCTTTTGTTCGTATAAAAATAACGAGTTTTAAATCTCCATAAATTAGACTTAAAACAGGATACGAATTTAAAAAGTTTCTCCAATATTTGTCACTCTTCTTTAAGCTTAATCAAGTTTACCTCAAGATTTAATATCCGGATAAAAGTTATTGGCCATTGGAAACAATCGAATGATGTGCGTTGGCAAGACTCTCATTGTTGTTTTAGCCTCCTTGGAAACAAATTCGTCGTTCTCTCCAAATATGAATACTTTCTTTCCAATCCTCCTGCAGTAAATCGTTTCACCGATAGTAAATAGATCTTTTCTTTTCAGTTTGAAGTCACTCTACTGGAAAATTATGTTGGATGGCACTGGAAGTCCTCATTCCCGTTAATGTATATATGTACGTACATATGTATGTATTTATGTTCCCCAAAAATATTTTCCATATTGCAATCAAACGCAAACCCTTAAAAGCTCCATTGTCGTAAAGTTGAATAATTAGTATGAAATATCCATTATATAATGCAGCTATATTTCTTACCGGCGTTTTTTTAAATAAAACCGGGCAACCAATTTGTTCGAATCAAAATTTTCTTCTTCTATCTTTTAAAGATGGCGAAGTTTACGATGACTGATATCGATGGATAAAAGTTTGCTGATAGTAGAGGTATTCTTGCAAATGATATTTAACTTTTAAAAACCTATAAGCATTTAAAACCACTATGGCTTAATATTAATTACACTTTAAGTAAGTTTTAAGCTATATGATATATTGATAAAACAATTATGGCTAAATAGATATAAACAAACCCAAAGCTTAATAAAAAATATTCGATAATAAACCTATGCAGCATGCGGTCTCTCTAATGGCATAGATCGATAGAAAACATCGAATACTGCTATCGATACTTGAAACGACTAATAATCGATCTGCTTCCACCACTGGCGGTCACACCAGCTTGTTTACTTTGCGCGCAGCGGAAAACCGGGCCGAAGCCACACGCTCGAATTTTTTTTATTATTTTTTTGTCGCCCCTCTTGCCGCCGCTATTTGCCGCAAATTGGTGTAAATATAACAAAAAAGCGATCGAACGAAAGCGCGCGATTTTTTAGTGTGTGAAAATGTATCGAAAATGAAAGAAGCGAAGAAGGCGCAAAGAGAGCTGCTGAAGAAGTGCGTGCCGAAAAAAAGAGAGCGGTGAAAAGTGCCAAAAATAAAATAAAAAACAAAAAAACACAAAGGCTGAAGGAGAAAGGTGAACGAAAGAAGGAGAACGACGAACGAAGAGAGAGAGCGAAAGCAATAGCAACAAGTGGCCAAAGATGTGCAAATGACAAATTGGTCAAAACTCCTGTTTCCCTCGCTATCTCGCTTTCTCTCACACACTCCCACTAGCACACTCTCCCTTGCACACGTACACGCACATCCTCGTCATTTGCCATCTCCGTCACACGCGGTGGGAACAGGAACAGTCGACGGTCAAGTTCAAGTGAGAACGGGAACGGAAACGGAAAATAGGGAAGCGGAAAAGGCAAAGGAATAGGAATAGGAAACATGCGGAGACCCGTTACAACTTTAAATCGGAATCATTACTTTGTCATCGGCTTTGTCCTGGGCCTCCTCCTTAGCTACTACTTTCCTCAGGGTATTTGGAAGCTAGTGCAGCAGGAGGAGTGTCCCCAGGAGGCCGAAGAGAATCTGATGATCGAGCGATTCGGGCAGGAGTTCGAGCCCCATTTGAACCTCATCAATAAGCCGCTGGCGGCCAAAAAGCCGGTAAGTCAACTGTTCCCAGTATTTAATCATGTAAATGTAGAATAGGGGTATTAACTCATGTAGGTCCTAAAGGCAAATCAATCCCATTTAAAGATGCTGTAAAGAACTTGTTAATTTCTTTAAGTTATAAGTTAGAAAATGTATAAAATAAATTGTTTTTAAGGAGCTACCAATAATATTTAGAAAATTCATATTTCTAACCATTTTAAATTGTAAATTGTATATAATTTAATGGAATTTTTAATATGCCTTTATATTACTTTTTCACTACATAAAATATGTAAAATATTAATTCGCATGAGACAAGGATAAGTTAATTTTTTCATCATAGACGCTTTTTTATTAAACAACTGTCACAACTTTATTGAATTGCAGATGCAGATGCAGATACATCCTGCTTCATATTCGGTAATATCTTACCATATCTATTACCATATCCGCATGAAAACCTATCTAATAGTATAGTATTAAAATTCTGTGATACATTTAGAAAAATCTTAGAAAGTTTTAGCTGGTTTTTTTGACATGATTTACTGAAAGAAGTTCGATTTTTTGCTATATTTTAGCCTCAAGTTTGCTTTGTTTTAAAAATTGAAATTAGAAACTTAGGCACTTGCGCCTAGGTAAAGGGCTTAATGAATAGAAAAATCGGAACATGAATCTATTAAATCCAATATCACAAAACGCCGAACCGCTTCGATTTGCGGCGCCACCTCCGCTTTCTGTGAAATTTTAGCCAAAAAATGCAAATAATTAGTCGTCGGCGGCATCGGGCACATGGCTCATAATAATATATATATATATATAAATATATATATATCAAGCATCGGCCATCGGACAGTGTTGATAAGGCTTTATTGACCTTCTTGCTTATCACCGTAACGCCACACTCGGCTACCCTAAGTTTGTACGATCGCAGGATTGATTAATGCTGAACATCTTAAGAGATTTTTACATATTCTCAAAGTCCCAGTAACTATATAAATATGTAATCTGTAAACTTTATCTTAAATCTATATAAGGCAGCGAAAATGCCAAGATCTTGCCATCTTAAACAGATGTCACATCTCTTAACTTCCTTGACAAACACGTGTGCCTCATAATGAGACTTCTAATTTCCAGGGAGACCTCTTAATCAACAAGTCATACAGTTTTCGAGCGAGTACTGTAATTATCACCGAACATTTGCTTCACATATTGTTTTTAAAGTATTTCCGTGAGTGCAATGACCCATCACAGAGAGTCTATATAGAATCGAAAACCCTGTTAACCAGTGTCTCAAATTGTTCTTTGATTTTCAACCAATTTATATATAGTTGTTGGCTTATCGATGAACTCGCACACAAGCTCAAATTTCCACTCTTTGATTTATTTTCCTTTTTTTTTTGCAAAGCTGAACTTCTAACGTGACTTGTGGAAAGTTCTTAAATTTCCTTTTGCCTAACTTAATTTTCTATTACTTGTTTTCTTCAGATTTGATTTCACAGTTTTGAATGCACTGGGAAGGAGTGTAAATTCCAGACGATCGGGTGCTCGTAAATTGAATTTAAATAAATAAACGCATTGAAAAATTATGACCCGCAGCAAAAGTGAATAAAATGTTAACTGATCCACCGTCCGTATGTATTGTGAATTCTCCCTATGTTGGTACGCCCGCCGATCGAAAGCAATTTATTGAATTAAACAATGTGCGCGAAAAAACACGTGATTTTTTCAAATAGTCGAAATGGCGATATACACTTTGCGTGGTTTAGGTATTATTAAATGGATTTAAAGTAAACTTGCAAAGGAAAGATTATGTTCTATGTTTATAACTGCAATTAGGAGACAGCCCAAAGATTCGAAATGTTATTTTCTATATAAGTTAAAAACATATAATAATTTTTGAACTTGATGATTATACTGTCTAAGGTTGCTATCTTAAAAATCCAAGTACTCTATGATAGACCAAAAGATATCAGTTCCAAAAACATTCCATTCTGATTCTGAACATCTCATAAGCAAAGTTACAAAAACTTCACATTTTTAAGTACCAACTTCTTAAATATTTTCTATAAATTATGCATTCCCTAGAAACTTCATAATAAACTCCATAAACCTCTTAAAAGAGCATAAGTCCCGGCAACATTTCAAATCGATTAAATATTTTCTTATGGCGTACGCTTTTTTCGACCTCATGTTCAGCAAATTATGTTGATTTATTTTTTTGGATATCATATGCTTACGTTTGCTTTTTGTTTAACACGTCGGATATACCACATACATATATATATATATATAAAAAATATTTTTTGTTACGCCGCAACTTAATATAATGTTAATAATTTGTTGCACGTTTTTATGACACCGCAAACTGGATTGTTGCCATTATTTTGGAGATGATGTAAAAGTGTCGTTGAGGTTGTCTGACACGTCGTCCGAGTTTGAACTTTGATGGGTTTACGGGAGAGGAATTTCAAATTTGACAGAGTTCTGAAGGGAATTTCTATTTTATTGAAAGAAAATATATATAATTCGTGGCTTTTTAGTGATTTTTTAACACTTTTAATCTTCCCATTGATAAAACAAGATCATATATTTAAAGTTAACCTAAAACCATAAATAAATTTGAGCTTCCTTCAGAATTTCCAGTTGATAACTTCAACTTTTTGGATAAGATTAATAAGTTTGTTCACAGCGACTAAACCAGTTCCATAATTAACTAAAAATGTTAATTGTCTCTCTAAGCATTTCAAACATTGCTGAATGGCTTGTCTAAGCTGTTGATTTTATTGAGTGATTTAGTTAGTTATTACTTAGTTAAGGTTTAATAATCTTAGGTAACCATGCAGCCGAAAGACTGAAATTCTATATATTATTTTTGAACCCCTGTCAATAAATTGTTTCTTTTTTTTGTTCAGTTCAACGATGATTTGCATAACTCTTATGAGTTTTTTTTAATATTCGTTTCGGTTTTTTGTGTGTCGGTAAAAAGTGCTCACTTATATCTTTATTATTGCCTTTTTTATGGGGCGCACATGGCTCAAGAGTCACCATTTCTTTGTTGGTCTTTTAATGTGCGTAATGAGTGGATGTTTGTGCGGGAAAATGGTTAGGTTTGGTCACTCCGATGGTCATAGATAATGTCTTTAAACTCAAGCTTGAGGGGTTTTCAGAATGTTAATACCCTAAACCTCTATGAAAAGGGGGAAAAACTAAGCTTAGCTTTTTGCTTATTTGATTCTCAAGTCAACATATTTTAAGATTAAGTTACTATTTAACATTTTATAAGGCTTAAAGTTATAATTTCCTATATTTGTTTTAAAGATTTTTGACCTCAACTTGTTTACCCTTTGAAAGGGTATAACAAGATTATACAAAACTCGGACAAAAGTCGTCTTCCATTCACTTAATAAAAGACAATAACTACGTTTACTTAGTGTGTCCGTGTTCGTGTGTACTTGTTGAAGTTAAAGCAAACATATCTGGACACAGATATATATATATATATATATATATGTAATACCTATGTCTGTGGCATATATGCCAACGAGTCGAGTGCGATTGTGTACACACTATTGCTAAGTGGAAGTTAAGTGAAATCAGAGCCGGCAGCACTTTGAACTCCAACCCACTGAGTTTTCTTTCTTTTCGTTTTGGCCAGCATTGGTTCAGCGGTTCACCAAGTTTAGATCACGATGAGATCGATTGATGGTGAACTGGAGATCAATGGACGTACGTACGGACTTGAAGGGGCCGTCTCCGATCTCTCGACACCTGTCCAAACCGACCCAGTTGGCATTCAGACATATTGTTTGTGTTTTGGCTTTCAATTCAAATTCTGTGGGTTTCTAAATTTTACAAAAAAAATCAAAAAAGTTTTTTAAGGAAAAGAAAGGGGGTGGAAAGACATGGGGCTGTGCTTCCGCAACATTAAGCGCCACATGTGCATGTTGATGCGTCAGAACTTTGCCAAAAGTTGCGAAAGCAAGCTGAATGACCAGATCAACATGGAGCTGAAGGCATGCCACCAGTACTTGGCCATGGTGAGCAATCCTGGTTATGAGGATAAATTCACAGTTTTCCTTATAAATCCCCTTAGGCCTTTCATTTCGATCGTTCGGATATTAGTTCCCCGGGATTACATGGATTCTTTCTCAAGTCCAGTGCCGAGGAGCGTGAGCATGCTGAGAAGATCATGAAGTACATGAACAAGCGGGGTGGTCTCATAATTTTGAGCAGTGTACCAGAACCACTGCCCTGTTGGAAGAACAGTTTGGATGCCCTAAAACAGGCATTGAAAATGGAACTGGAGGTCAATCAGCATCTGCTGGACTTACATGCTCTAGCTGGTAAGGAATCGGATCCGAATCTCTGTGACTTTATAGAGGCGAACTTCCTGCAAGAGCAGGTTGATGGCCAGAAGATTCTGGCGGATTATATTTGTCAATTGGAGAAAGCACAGAGCGATGTGGGTTACTATCTGTTTGACAAGTACATGGGTTCGGGCATGCATGCACCAAAGTGAAACTGGAAGAATTCGTATTGCCATGTGAATATTGAATAAAGATTCGTAGCCCCCAAGCAGCCCAAAGAAGTAAGATCGTATTTCTGGCCGATCAATGGGTTCTTATATGGTTGGCACTTATCAGCGCTGGCTGGCGTAGCACTAGCTCTATAAATATAACCGCTTATCGGCTCCAAAAGTTGCGCAAGTTTCTAATTGAAAACGAAACCGAATCCGAAAAAAAAAACTATAGCAGCTAAATCCGATCCGATAACCGATTTGCGTTCAGCTTTCTGCTATAAGTTTGGGCAAACAAATAAATCTGAGAGGAGCTTGGAGCTATATAGCTGTTCAGTCACTCAATCATGACTCAACTTCTATATGAATCTCAAGATATGATAATCTTGAATCTATATAGATAAAAAGTAAAAACAAGTATGACATAGAGTACAGAGTTTGATTCAGGGTTTATATAACTTAAGCTTGATAATAATGAAAAAGTTCGTCTAAATGATAAGCATTTGTGACGTATTAATAGGTTATCTATATAGATGAAGATCCTGATTGTCAGCAAGACAATATACTCTTGAATCTATATAGATAAGGCTTGAAAGAAGAACTCAGAAAGCCTAACTAACTGGTTTCCTCTTTTTAAGGTTTATTTTTTATAAACAGAAACAAAGATTTAATAATAATTAAGTAGATTTCTTCAAGTGCTTCTTAATAAACATAATTTAAATCTCATTTATGATATTATCATTAACACAGATTTAATTCTCCCTCATCTAATCCCCGAAGTCATTCATAATTAACCGAAACAGCTGGATGTGTGTGATCGGTCCGTTTCTATGGGAGTTTTATAAGGGGCATGAACCATTTGCCACTGAAAACTAACTCACCCAGATCATTCAGATTGTACAGATCGTTCAGATCGTCGTGAATGGTAACATCTTGGCTGGGCTTAATTGAAAAGCGCGTCGCATTTCCGGTCTGAAGTCTGAGGTTCGAGGCATCTATACGGACGGCAGACTGTACACAGTGGCTATACACATATGCGGCCCCAATAAATTGTCATATGTATATGGACCCATGGACTAGACGACAATTTTACATTATATATGTATATAGATGTAGTAATCCTCCCCCGCGGGCGTTAGAAAAACTCGGTGTCTGGTCGACGGCGCACTTGTCCCAATTAAGATTTCTGTCCAATCCAATACAATTTGCAGCTGCACAGCAGCTCTATGGGATATGTAAAAAAGAAAGAAGAGGGAAAGATAAACCTAGAGCCGAGATTGCCAGCTGCCTATATATGCTATATATATATATACCTGATCCGTAGGCCAAATGGATGGGCTCTAAGGTGTCGTATCTGCTAAGATGGGTATTGAAATCCTGAAATTTGTCAAGATAAATCAGATTTTGAGATTGGAACTCAGTCTGTCTTATCAATATAAGTTTAGTTAGCTAGTTTCTTAAGGTAATATACATATTTAGTTCTTAGTCTTATAAAGATCAATCAAAGTAGGACAACATCCAAATGTTATATGACATGGCCAGTAAAATGATTTATCGAATCTTAAATAAGTTCATTTTGAGCTATAAAACTCCGAACGTGTAATTAGAAACCACTTGCGATTCAACTCATAATTAAATCAATTAACCAGGGCTAACCCATAGCTGATACGTTAATTTAAATAATTGATTTTAAATGCTGTTCATTGACGTCTTTAACGAAGCGATTTAAGATGAGATTTGAGGGCTAAAGAACAAGCCAGGCAAGTCAAACTTTTAAGGAGATCCATGAAAGAAGTAAAGCTATCATATTAATGAATGAGTTAATGAGTCTAAAGTGCTCTTATAATATCAATCAATAAGTTTAAAACACGAAAAAAAACTTTAAAAATTCATAAGCTTAAAGAACTTGTAATCCCTGGAAAAGAGTTTCCTTCTTAACTCCCATTTCCTAAGCCCATTTTAAATATTTACCCAGCATTAAATCCTGATCCAGATGTGAGCCAATTTCTGGCTCATTACACTTGGCTTAAAAAGGCAAACACACCTTAAGTAGTCGGCCATATAAAATAATTCACCCTCTGGGCTATCTGGCGATTTATTACACCCAATGCCGACGACGACAACGACAACGACGACGACAAGGGCCATATAATCACTGTAAACATTTTATCGCGTCCTAAGTTCAAGTTTAACCCAAACCCCTGACTCATCAAGCCCAAAATTTTAAAACTAATATTTGCCCAAATAGCCAAGTAATATTCATGTTTCTGCAATATTTTCACAAGGGTTAAGCATTGTTTAGCCAGGCGATTGAATGGGCTTCTCTGTTAAGAGAAACCTCAAGAAGGTGCCATATATTTCAATCAAATTGAATTTTCACAGCTTGTAAATATTCTAATTTAAGATTTATGAGCAGGGAAAAAGTGTAAATTATTTGGGAGTTACAAGCTATAAATTTCATTAGAAAAGTTATGGCTTATGTATTGGTTAATTTAAGTAGAAAATTGATTTATTTTGAAGTTTTTAAGGGCAGAACAATGAATTATATTCTTCCCAATCCAATCTCTTAAAGTTTGTCCTACTTAATCGTATCACCTGCTGCTAATATATATCTATAGTTCTGGCTTGGTTTAACCATAATTGTCATGGCGCTATTTTTTATTTATCTGACGAAAGAAGTTGCCTTTGCCACCGCCTTGCCACCGACGAGTAAACAAACAAGCAACAACAAATCCCTATCTTTGTGTGTGTTTAATTAAATTCTTTTTTCGAATCAAAATCAAAATGAAAATGAAAATGAAAATGAGAATGAAAACTGAAATTAGAAATGGCTTTTGTGCCCATTTGCAGTTGGCATGGTGACGTCGTCTTAGCCATATCTACTGATAACAGTCCAATCGATAAGGCCTGTGGTTAGCTTTGCCTTTTCTTCTTCAATAAATTCTCCTCTTAACTCCTTGGCTCACTTCCGTTTGTTGTCATATTACGTCACAAGGTTGTTGGGAGTGTGTTTTTTTTTTCTTTTTCTTTTCTTTTCTTTTCTTTGGTTTCTTTGGTCTTTATGGTGGTTATCATATAACTAGGGTTGCTTCCACGTGCCACACGTAGAAGATTTCCTCAAACGGTGGCGGAAATTTATCCGCTGGCAGGGAAAATTTATTAGCCCCGATCGTTAATGTATGGTTTATGTGGAATTTGGATCAAAGATGCGAACTCATTGTTCAGGTGAACAAACCTTTTAGTGAATCACATTGCTAGCCCCTGGCACGGCCTTGTTGCCGAATTGTTAAAAGCGGACAAGTTTTTGGGGAACTGCTGTATACAGTCAGGGTACAGTGATCATTGGATAATGAGATATATTTTAGATTGTTAAGGATAATAAGGTTCTTGATGTGACAAGGTTTTCTGATATATAACCATACTATAAACTATATTTTTCTAATATTAACAAAGACATATAAAAACAATATCTTAAATCTAAAAACAGTACTCAATAAACTATATTCTCTGCAGAAAATAATACAATTTAAAACACAAATATCATAAAAAATAACATACTTTTTGTTTATTTTCATTACTATTTAAATTTTCCCTATAAAAATATCCCCATTTCTTACCTCACAGCAACCACTGTTTTGGCTGTTGATTTCTTGAAACTAAAAAAAAGGAAAAGAAGGGGAAAAAAGAACATTTATTCATTGAATTTCCCATGCATCATTCATATTTAGAAAAGCATTTTTATTTACCCAAAAACGCTACAAAATATCCAAGCGAGCAAACACAAATCTCGAGAGCCATCTCAGCCAAAATGGATGTTGTTTTTTTTTCGGTGTTATTTTTACCCGTGGTTTATCTTTCGCCGATATTTACACATTTGATGATTGGCAAATGTGCGTGTGCGTTCAATTTGGTTGCTATATATATATATATATATATATCTGGGTTATACCTGTAGTATTGGCACAAGGTTAAATCTTGAACCAAGCCACCGTGGATCAGCGGATCAAGCGGAGACCCCAGCCTGGTAATTAAAGCGCCACATGGACCCATTAAGTGGTCAACAATTGCATACGAAACGATACGAGTTACCCGCCACGGCACTGCAATGCACTCACTGCCTGCAATTCAATTAAATCCAAATTGAAATTGAAATTGAAATTGGTTTTCTCGATCGCCGCTAACGCGACTTTGATTGCCTTTCAACAGAGAGGGAAAATGGGGATTGTAAACTGAAAAGAATCATTTTTTAAAAGTAATTATAAATGTTTAAAACTGAATTAGAAGTTAAAAACATATTTTAAACATTTATTTGTGAATTTTAAAACTTATATTTTATGTTTTAAGTTCATATAAGGGTTATATAATGTTTAAATAATATAAAATAATATTTAAAAAAATATTTTTAAGCTTTAAAAATGATAATTAAATGTAATAAAAGTTAGAAATCAATTTACTTACTCAATATCTACATTTCTTAGTTAGCTTTTACTTAATATCCCCACTTATTTAGTTCAAGTTTAGGCAAATAAACTGCAAGTGTTAATCCAATTTTTTCTCTGTGCCTTTTGCTAATATTATATATATTTATTAAGCTGATCACTGCTAATTGTTGCCGCATACAAGTTATGTTATTTGCTCATCGAGGTAGCAACTATTGGCGACACTCCACCCTCCATCTCCACTTGGCGGGTTTCCACCTCCAGATTTGCTAACCACTTGAGATCTATGTGGATTCAAGGACAAAGCCAAAAATCATCACAAATTATAACATACGAGTACTATATTTTCCAATGCGTCAGAAGACTTTGGCTAATTTTATTTAACAAAAATTTGTATACTCTTACTGCTGAAATGGAAATCTTTCCTACTTTGTTATCCCTTTTTAATAATAAGATTTTTGATAGCTAAAAATATGTTTAAAAAATCAATTTCAGAAGTTCTTTAAATTGTATGTTCCATAGTTTATCCTCTCTAAATATGTACTATATATTTCTTAAGATCCCAGCAAAGTATCGTAATACCTCCTGATATCATAGGGTACTCTATAAAAACATGAAGTAATACCAATCGAAACTGACCCTGGCCACTTGGGCTGCTTTACGATGCCATATAAACACGGCAGCAAACAGCTTGTTTGCCGTTATTAAAAATCTATTAAGAATCATTTTTAATTAGCCATAATTCCTGTAAACTGCACAGCACCCCGTCAACATTTGCCTGGACAACACAAAATATATATTTTTATATAAGAAGAAAAAAACACAGCGGGATGGTCCAAAGTGCTTGCACAACCTGGCTGTTGTTTGTACAACGTACTTGGACGAAAATCAAGATGGAGTTAGTGGATAGGGAAGAGAAGGAGGAGGAGTGACCTCCATGCACGCATCTTTTTGGGTCATTAGTGGGTTAAGATAGTCACTACATAAATTGCCTAGCCACTTTTTAAGCAGACATGCAAATTTGAAAGGCAGTCTAAACACCCACTTAAAAGCTGTTTACCTTTTTTTTATTTCTTTTAAATTGACTTGCACAGTGAGTCACATAAGTTAAGGCAAGGCTAAAATTGAAATTCTAAAGAATTTTGACTAAACAAAGGAATTCCCCTAAAATTTCTTTTAAATTCCAAACGAAAAGCAGAAAAACTATAAAAAGACTTGCAGCCGTAAATTTAGTTTATAGCTAGTTTATGGAAGTCAATACTTTAAAAACATTTAAGTTTTGTACAAACAACATTTATCAAATAAATTAAGCTGAACATTTCATAGACATTTTATGAGGTTAAAAGATTTTAAGTAAAAGTATTAAGTAAGATAAATGATTTCTTAAAAAGTCAGCAAAGAAGATTCTACTTTCCTAGAGATACCAACTAGGCAGAAAAACCTTTTTAATTTAAATAAAAATGAGAAAAAAATAAGCATTTAAAACTATTAAGTAATGACTAAAGTCACATGCTGCTCCTAAGACATAATAAATAATAATAAATATTCCATTTGACGTCCCCCGCGAATCTAGTTGTCAACTTAGAAAATCACATGGTATTAACTCCATGACCTGACATTATCATCGTTCTTAGGCATTCTCAGAAACGCAATCGCTTTAAATTACTTTTGTTTTTTAGCAAAGTCATAACTAAAAAAAAGTTGGTGGATAAAATTGTTAGCAATTTTTCGATGGGAATTCCTCGTCAACGTGCCAAAAAAAAAAAAACCTCATCTAATCGTAAAAATAAGAATTAAAACTTACCCTCAAGTGGGCAAGGAAAAATGGAACCACTTGAGAGAGTCAGTTTACGAGGCATTCGGTCGTCTTGAGTGCTTAAGCGTGAAGGGGAAAAAAGATGTAATTGGCCAGATATATAAGACCCTTAACGCACTTTTTATTGGCTTGAGTGCATGTCAGCGGCTAAAAATAGCCAGGTGAATGGAGATAATGTTACTCATCTGACTGGGAAATACTGTAGAACATTTGAACCCATAACTTACTTAGAATATTTTCATGGAACTACCTTCGTGTATAACCATTACGGGTTAGAAAAATGTCTGATTTATAGGGTATATATATTATTCTTTTAAAAACAAATCAGCTTTTCGAACAAAGTCACGTACTTCGTTTGGTCTTTTTAGTACCCAAAGATACAATTTTTCCCCTCTGCACGCAGATCGATCTACTTAGATATCATGAATTTATTGGCCCTTAATCATTGGAGATGTTTTCAAGATCAGTTCTTGGGTTTCTTATAAACGAATAGTTGAATGTGGAGTGAGTCAGCTTCCGGGAAATGAGGAACTTGATGATCTTAAGAGGGGATTTTTTCTAATTACAAATTTATAACCGAAAGATTTCAGGGAAATAATGCAATTTATAGAACTTAAAGCCTTTGAAAGGTGCATTCTACTTACTTTTTATAACTGGTTATAGTTCAATTTTTAATACAATTTCGAATTCTAAACAAATTTTCCCTTTCCTCTTTACAGGTTAAAAATGTCATACGGCCGCGCTACTACTCCTCGGAACTGGGGATCCGCGAGAAGCTCTTCATCGGGGTAATGACCTCCCAGGAGCACATCAACACCTTTGCCACGGCCTTCAACCGCACCACCGCCCACCTGGTCAACAAGATCAAGTTTTTCATTTATGCCGATAGCGTGAAGACCAACTACAAGTTGAAGAACATTGTGGGCTTTACGGATACGCGGGAGAGCCGAAGACCTTTCCATGTGGTCAAGTATATAGCAGACAATTATCTGGATGAGTACGATTACTTCCTGTTAGTTCCGGACACCGTCTATGTGGATGCCAGGAAGTTGGTGAAGCTGCTCTACCACATGAGCATCACCTTCGATCTTTATATGGGTGGGGCTCGGATTGGTTTGGATCCTCCGGGTGGCAGTGCCTCTGTAGATGGTCAATCGAATGAGCCGGCGGGAAATGAAGAGGATGCTCCGGGGGCCAGTGATCGCAACTATTGCTCCCTGGAGGCGGGCATCCTGCTCAGCAGTAGTGTCATCCGCAAGATGCGGAACAATCTGGAACGCTGCGTCCGGATTGGTAGCACCAATGATCATAGTGTCAACATTGGAAGGTGCGTCAAGTATGCGAGTCGGGTGGCCGGTTGCCAGGAAAGCTTTCAGGTAAGTTTAACTCTAGTCGTGGACAGAAAGAAGCGGCTAGTTACAGTGGCTGTCAAAGTGATAAGTGGCTTTAAAACTGGGAATATTTTCATGGAGCTCGAACTTAATTTAATATTTTTGCTGAGGCGCTGATTTAGGAACTTATAATTAAATATAAAAAAAGCATACACTTAGGACAAGACAGCAATAAAAAGTTTAGACAAAACAGAGACAATTTATTCTCGAATCTCTCGCACATTCGAGACTTCAATTAATTTGCCGGCTGCCTTTTATGATTTCTCAGTTTTTTGTCTGTCGTGAAATTTAATAAAACAATTTTCTATTGTCCGATATAGTATAATAATTGCTGTCTACTAAAAAGAACTTTGGTTTTTGCTAAAAAACTAAACAAACACTGAAAAACTGACCCTGAAAAGGCAAAGAAAATACAAAAAAAAAAGAGTCAAGCGCCAGCAAGAAGCAAAAGTACTTTTAAGACAGTGGCGTGAGGTATATTCTTTTAACAAGGGATTCTTAGGTTATTGTTGGAAATTACTTCCGTAAAAAGAGGACATTCAAAAAGAAGTAAAAGACTTTACCCTCTCTTAATGTCCCCCCATTGTACGCCTCTGTCCAAGAACAAACACACTCGCAGCGCCAAAAGCAGATGAGCAACCAAATTCAGAGCAAGACCAGAATCGCTCGGTTCATGGACAGCACATAGCAGTTTATTTAATTTCCAAGTAGCAACAAAAGAATTTCTTTGCTGTTGATTAAGTGTGCGTAGAGGGGGGCGTGGCAATGGGCGTGAATGCTGTGAAATGTTAACTTTACGTCGTGACAGTTTGAGAGCAACAGCTTGAAGTCTCCAGATGATAATTAAAGTTTCTAATTTTTGGTTTTAGATTTAAAAGAGGTTTTCTCGAAAGTTATTTAAGATATTTAGTTTATTTTATCATATAGATTTATGTGATAAAATAAGACTTCTAGTTTTCTAAGATTATTTTAGAAACTAGAAGTTAAAAGTGATTACCATAAGTTAGCTTCGAATGATCTCTACCCTCTTGATTTGCCAGGAACACACTGTACTTCCTCTATTCCCATTCAGATCACAGGTGGGTGTGTCTTACTCATTATCATTTCTGATTATTGCTCTATTTATATGAACACAAAGTTTAGTTTCGCATAAACAGTCGAACAGTCGAAGAATCGTCGAGTAAATGGAACTGTTTTTCCGTTGAGATGTTAGTTTCGTGTTCGTTTGATTTCGATTGGTTTGTTTGGATTTCGGTTTATTTATGCGGTGAGGCAGCATGGAATGATTTATGTCCTATGTGTGGTCTCTGTCTATGCATATCAACATTCAGTTCGTGGTAAATATCATAGCAACGAAGTCATCTATGTTTTTGGCTAAAATCATTGGTTTATAGAGGTTCTTTTATGTAGGCTTTTTAAGGGATTTTTCCTTGTTTTTTGGATATTGTGGCCTTTTTAATAAAAACTATTTATTAAATAACTTTTATATATTTTATAAAATCTTTTCAGCAGTTAAGAAAATCAAAAGATCAATTACTGATACATTAACCACCTGTATTATTAGTTATCTTTTCTATCGATAGTTTTTATAGTTTCTTTTTCGATCCATTGGCAGTAATTTTTAACATCTATGATATGTTTTCTTCATGCTTTCACTTTTAAGGGCTGAATATAGGATTAAGTGTCAATATTTATGAACTTACAGCCACCTTATGTTCAGTTTTATATGTTTTAACAACTTTCAATCGATAGAATCGTTCAATTTTGCAATTAATCGATAGTATTCATAACAAATCCTCCAAAGATATCTTCCATTAATTGTAGAAAACAATACTTAATGCTTTTATTTCCACTGCATCTGTTTAAACAAAAGAAAAACACAAGAGATATGCAAGTGTGTTTGCCGCGGAGTGTTTTCGTTTAATTAACTGGCCTAAAGAGTTTGCTTAACGGCGTCTTCAAAAGCTGCAATTCGCTTGGGGAATTGATTAATGTGCGCGAGGGGGCCAATTAAAACAAAAAGAAAAATACTCCAAATGGGGAAATAATGCCAGAGAATATGAAGAGGGCCCAAAGATATGGGCAAATCCGCAATCGAATGGACGATCTTTGTTTCATTAGCGCGACATTGTTAATTTAATTATTATGCTCGTTCTGGCAGTTTGTGGTTGGTTTTCCTTCTTTTCTGCATTTTTATGGATCGTAAAAGGGATCGCTTGATGTGCCAGCATGTGGCAGGCATTGCAGCCGTGGGATACCCAGACCGACTTCCCTTCCACGGAATCGAGTCGAGCATTGGCCCTGAACTTGACCTTGACCATGGCTACAACTACAAACTCCAACTCCAACTCCATCAATATTTATCTTTATCTTTATTGCCTTTTGCAGGGCATGCGGCAGTATAGCTATGCTCTGGATGCGCAAGGCCGTCATCATCGCGACTTCAGCGAACTGGCCAAGGAGGAGGCCTTTCGCAATGCCAGCACCGTGTATCCCGTCCAGTCGCCGGAGGACTTTTATCGCCTGCACGCCTACTACTCCAAGGTGAGAAAGAAATTACAATTCGATGTTCACAAATAAACCTTAAAACTCATTAATCAGCACCACCTCGAGAAGGTACAGGAGCGGGGCTATGCGCTGGAACAGAAGTCTTACCGCATTGCCAACGGGAGCATATCAAATAAGATCCTAGAGATTCGATGGCCACTGGGCGTGCCGCCACCCAGCGCGCCGGAGACGCGTCACGACATCCTTACGTGGCAGCTGCTAAATGGGACGCACAGTTTCCTGCCGAACGGCAATGCCGAGCATGCGGTGGCACCGCTTTCACGGATCGAGGCCATGGACTTTGCCAAGGTCCTGGAGATAGCACTGCAGTATGCCGCCCTCAAGCATCCACGTCTGAGTTACCATAGTCTGCATAGTGCGTACCGAAAGTTTGATGCCACGCGGGGCATGGACTACCAGCTGCACCTCAGTTTACAGGAAGGATCGGGCAGAAGTAGACGGCTTGTGGTCAAGAGCTTTGAGGTTGTGAAGCCATTGGGTCGTGTGGAAGTTGTTCCATCGCCATATGTGACGGAGAGTACAAGGATTGCCATGTTGGTGCCCGCTTTTGAGCATCAGGTCCCGGATGCCCTTCAGTTTGTGGAACAATACGAGCGGATTTGCATGCAAAACCAGGACAATACCTTCCTGCTGCTGGTGAGATTGAATAGTTATCCAATTTAAAAGCCCGTATAAATCCTATTTCTTCCCACAGATCTTTATGTACCGCTTGGACTCGCCCAGCAAGGGTGACGAGGATCCCTTTAAGGGACTGAAAACGTTGGCCCTGGACCTGTCTTCCAAATACAAGACGGATGGCTCACGGATCGCCTGGGTGTCCATCCGACTGCCGGAACAGCTAAGCGAACCGGTGGGTGCGCAGGATTGGCTGCTACATGCCTCTATGTACGGACCGAGGCAGCTGCTCAGCTTGGTAGTGGCGGATTTGGCGTTGCCCAAGCTGGGCTTAGAATCCCTGGTGCTTTTGGCTACCCCGGGAATGGTGTTTAAGGCTGACTTCCTTAACCGCGTGCGCATGAACACGATACAGGGCTTTCAGGTTTATGCGCCGATTGGCTTTCAGATGTATCCATGTCGCTGGGCGCAGTTCTGCCGGGAGTGCGACACCTGCGATGTCAGTCAGAGTAGTGGCTACTTCGACCGTCACAACCACGATGTGATCGCGTTTTACAGTCGGGATTATGTGCAAGGTAAGTAGATCACTTTCAAGTTAGTTTAAGTCTAGTTACTCACTTTATTCCTTAATACCTTTCTAGCTCGCAAGCTGTTACATCCCCAAGGACTGCCGATCATCCGCAGTGATCTGGACATCGACCAGTTGCTGCTGCAGACCGGCGAAGAGACGCGACCACCGGGAGTGGAAAGCATCCTGGATATGTTTGTGGCGGCGCAGCACTCGGTGCACATTCTGCGCGGCGTGGAGCCGAATTTACGTTTCGGTCAGGATGTACGGAATCATCTGGCACGCGGAGGTACCCTGCCAGAGAGTCAACCCGAGCACTGTGGCCGAGAGCAGTGCATCCATTTGGCGTCACGGAAACAGATCGGCGATGCCATCATACGCTTCGAGGACAAAAGTATTCTGCATAAATAGCAGGGAACCTGAAGGCTCCACTTTTCCAGCTCCTGCGCTCCTGCCTGTAATATCATCAGTTCCTTTTAAAGACATAGTTCCATGTTGATCGCACTGAGATCTTATATAGGAATATATGACAAACTCTTATACTCGCATCCAAGGCTTAAATTCAAACCCAATTAGAACGAAATTTGTAAGATGTTGGGACTTTGCTGGTGCCCCAAAGTATAAGACCTGTATAGCGGACCTATCTCAATCCCAAAACTTAGTGTTTAGGCCTAGGCAATTATTCCCGTTGTTGCTTGCTTTAAAGTGAAACTTTTTAATGCTCAAAAAAAAGAAAAACAAGTGAAAAAAAATGGTAGATAGCAATTAGTTTCTAGTTAACTAAACTAGTTATTAGCTACCAAAAAAAAAAAAAAAAAAAATCAACAAATGTAGGACAAATGTAGGACAGTTGTTCGAGCCATTCAACCAGACATTCGATTTTCGCATGTAAATACTTAGCATACGCCCCCACATATATCTCTAATTGACGACGATACGTAGGTTATTAAGCCAGGCACCATTGCACCATTGACTCCTATTTAAATGACTAGTTAAGCTAAGTGTTATACTACTACGAACTAAGTTAAAACAAACGATGTGGCTGTATGATGAAAACACTACAAGATGCCGCCTTGCCTCAAAGTGTTGCAATCCCTATATGTGAATGGGCTCTCTCAAAAAACGGTGTGCCAAAAAAAAAAAGAAGGAATAATTATACAAAATAACTGGTCTAAATTAGGGAGTGCTTGCTTGTACTTTGTTCCTCTTTTAAAAACTAAAATTAAATTGTAAACTAAACTAAATATCGGCTAAGGGGAAATCTAAATAATTGCTCTCAAAAACAAAAACAAAACTATTGATAAGATAATGCCAGGGTTTTCCCTTGTTTTCAATATGATAACCACATCATCCCATTGTAAATAAAAGTAGAATTATTGTTAAGTGCTTGCCAAATTCCTTTAGCCGATATCTACTGTAAGCCTGTCCTTTGTCTGTTATATTTTTTGGCCACATTTTGCCAGCACGCATCAGTTTTAGCATCGAATAAGAAGTCTGCCAGTCAAACTCTTATCATTATGATTACGAAAGGCAAATCCGATTAATTTATTACAAAATTTATTAGTTATATGTATGTACGTACACTCGCCAGGAGTAATCCTCCATCCTCCTCCTCCTCCTCCTCCTCCTTCTGCCCCTTGTCCCACAAACAAAAGCCTACTTTTTTTATACATTTAGTCATAGTGTAAAATTACCAATATCTGTACTGTTTACGTGTAGGAATTGTTGTTATTGCAGAATAATACAAATTGTGTATGTATGTGCATATGTACAATAAATTTAAATGTTTAAATGTTTCTTTTTTGTTCAACTCAATCGCTGTGATTGTGGTTTAGTTATTTCTTCAGCAGGAAGCTGAGATCCGCCTGGGGAGCTAGCTCTTCAGCGCCGCCATCACTGGAAAATAAATATTTATTGTATATTAAATATTGTAATAACTTTAAGCATTCATGTTTTGTAATTCACGATGTTATCTTAGTATAAGTAGCTCATGGAATCCCTATCCCTATACCAAAAAAAAAAAAACATATACTTACGACTTAAAAAGCTTGGCATTGCGATCGCCCAGGAGGGTGGCCTTCTCCCCCTGAACCCGAACACTGGTGCCCTCTCGAAGACCCAGAACGGGCAGCCCATGGTAGGCCACAAACTCCTCGATACGCTCATCCCGCGTCTCACCCTTGTGCTGGCTGCCCAACTCCGGATCCAGATAATGCGGATTGATGTTGAAGGGAACCAGAGCCAAGGCCTCAAAACTCGGTGGATAGGCCACCGGCATGTCGTTGGTGGTGTGAATGGATCTAGTGGCCACATTTGTGCCTGCACTGCTGCCTACATAGGGTAATCCACGCTGGAGCACCAATTCCCTGATCGGATCGAGGAGCTGCATCTCGTAGAGAGTGCGCAGCAGGACGAAGGTATTGCCACCACCCACAAAGATGGCTTGGGCCTCTTTTAGGGCCTTCTCGCGATCCGGTTTCGTGTGCAATCCCTCGACATTGTATCCCCACGGCTTCAGGGCGTCTCGGACGGTGGCAGTGTACTTGTCGTGATCCCGCAGAGCGTAGGGCACAAAGAGCACCGTCTTCACATTGGCACTGCAATGGAAAATGAGGTATAATAATGGGAAATATTTTTAAACTTTATATTGAACTAGATTCCAAATAGTTACCTTTTGAAGAGATCCTCCAGTTGGCCGCGCGCGTGCTCCAAATACCCATGGCCGTGCAAGCGCGACGAGGAGAGCAGCAAAAGGTTCCGTGCACTGGCCATTTCTGTGGCAATCTAATCGTGGGATTGGAACGTTCACCCAGCCGGGCAGATTAGCAGAGTTTTATGACCCACCGCTAGGGATGGGTCCCACAAATATCGAAGTAAATGCCTCCAAACAAAGCTTATCAAGAAAGCGAAAGCAGGGAGGTAGGTGAAATTCTTTCATAAAGGGTACTAACATTTAGAATATTAGATTCCCAAAGGAAAAATATTAACAGTTTTCAGGTTGCTTTACATTGATTTTTAAGTTTGTTGGATTTCTTTTCTTTTTCAAATCTATAACACATTCCTTTATCGTTTTTGAACATGCTTATATAGGGGAATTTCCCCTTTCTCCACGTCACTTCACTGCTGAAAAGTGCACAAAGGCATCTGAATAGCTATCGATGTTGCATATATATCAAGCGATATATCACGTCCAAGGGATGGATTGCATTCAATGCAATTCGAATGATATCGCGGGTATAATTTGAAATTTGATACTGCCAAAATGATTAAAGAAAAGTTTGTAAAGAATTTTCTGCTTTCGCTATTTTAAAAGTTAAAAAACTAAAACCATTTCCATTGATCTCAGTTTTCACACACATCATTTATAGATTTTCCAAAGAAATTTCAACATTATTTAGCTATTTCACGTAATATATATTTGTTAAACAATTATAATTACAATTACTCTTTCTGTTCGGCTATTTTGGTGTTCAAAATGTTTACAATTTATCAATTAAGTTTAGTACGTTTTTACATTCATTGTTTGCTTGCTTTTGTTTCTGTTTCTGTTTCTGTTCTTGTTTTGTTTTGTTTCGTTAACTAAGCTATTATTTTTTAAAAATATATATTAAAATGGTATTATTATTATTATTATATTTTTTAAGACAGCGCAGCATCGCCAGCTGGGAGGCACGGTTCGGTTATCCATTTTGTATTCTTTTACTTTTCCTTTCGTTTTGTTTTTGAGCGTTGCAAGGCGAAGTTTTGCATTTATTGCATGTTGCATGTTGCAGATTGCAGGTTGCTAGTAACGGTTATGTTGCTGTTTAGCTTTTCTTTTCACTTAAATTAATAATTATGCAGTTTTCATTTTGTTGAATCTTTAGATTAGCTGATTGCTGTTGGTTTTCCGTGGGCTTCATTCATCTCATCTTTATGTATATATATATGTATATTTTGTTTTTGTTTTGCTGGCACGCAGACGGACATACACACACACACACACAGCCACACATACACACGCACAGACACACACACACACAACATGTACGAAATGCATGCTAGAAGAAGACGGCGGCAATTTTTACACGGGCACGGGCACGGCTTAAGGAGGGTTAAGGAGGCGCCATGGGTTAACCATTAACCTGCTACCACCCGGCCATTAACCTACTGCGCCGGCTGATTATCGGGCAGGTCCAGTATCCTGGCCACGAACTCCGAAATGTCCGTATTGCGCTGCAGATGCTCCACGATGAAGCTGTGCTTGAGCAACTGCTCATAGTTGGGCCGCGCCATGTACTCCTTCTGAAGGCTGACGGCAATGAAGTCCTCGAACTCCGGCGAGAATGTACCCGCCGCCAGACGCGGCGGATCGTCTTCAACCACCTTAAAGAAGATAAAACAAATGGGTAATTAAATATTCACACAAAAGCTAAGTATGTTTTACATATATCTATTAATAAGCTTCAACCTTTATATGACATTTCTGAGTATAGATTCCCTTATAAAGTTGTGGAAGCCCATTGGGTTTTACCCTATATTATACTTCATTTCCATACTTTGTTGTCTTATGAACACAACAGCTTCAAATAGGAATTACCAACATCTTTAATTGGTACATTTAATTAAGATCGGTAATAAGTTACTTGTGACTTAGTTATGTAATGAAAGTTGGTTTCTAACGTAATTAGTATAACAATAAGTAGATTTGTGGGTACAAGCTTTTGCTTGACAGAGGTTTAATTGGATTTAACTTATTATGCATATTTGGTATTATGGCTTATTGCTTAGTCGTACTTATCGAATTGGAAGATTTCTACGAATACAAACTATTTCATTGAATGTTCTTGAAATCTCGTAGGATTAGAAATTCAATTAAATATAGGACTCCTTCCTTATTTGGCTTTTTACCCAAAACATATAAATTCTGATTTTGAAATCTATTGTCAGGTTAACCAAAGGAAAATGAGGTTCTAAAGATGTTATTTTATCCAAATTCCAACACTCACCTGTCGCAGCTGCTCGAATGGCGTTCGCCAGTTGTCGTACGGGTAACGGCCGGTGGCCATTTCGATCATGCTGATTCCCAGCGACCAAACATCCGATCGAATATCGTATTGCGCCGGATTACCTTGGGGATCGATACGCTCTGGTGCCATGTACGGCTTGCAACCAGCATCAATCGTCTTGGCAACGGAGTCAACAAGGTAACCTAAAAGTCAGGTGAAGATTAGCAGAAATGTAAAGACAAAAAATAGAAACTATAGATGCCTACCTGAGATGCCAAAGTCACAGATCTTGACCTGGCCAGCCCGATTGATCAGTATGTTTGAGGGCTTGACGTCCCGATGAATGACTTTCAGCTGGGCGTGCAGATAGTGCAGCGCACTGACCACGCTCATGGCAATCTGTATATACATATATATATATATATAAAAGCTGATTCCTAGATAAGATTAGCCCCGCCCCCATAATCTTCCCCAGCTGACCTTGCCCAGCACACTCTCCTCCATTCGCAGATCGTGGCGGAAGACCTTCGGATAGAACTTGTCCAAACTGGTGCTCATCACCTCCATGCAGATCCAGACATCGCCTTCCCGATACATAGCACCATAGAAGTGGACCGTATAGGGGCAATCGCTGGACCTCATCGATATGTCCAGATCCATAACAAGGCGGTGCTGTTCGCGAATATTTACGGTCATGGGTATACGTTTTACGGCCAATACCGTATCGGTTTGCCGATGTCGCATCTTCTCCACAATGCCATAGGCGCCGCGGCCCAGATCACAAATCTTCTCCAGACTATCTGCATCGATGTCGAAGGTCTGTTCACCAATTTGGATGGTGGCCCGTGAGTCCAGATTGCGTGGCGGGACTCTAAAGATACATTGGTAAGTTTTTAGAAGAGATCAATAAGCATTTCTGTTGGAGATTTTGACCAAATAGTCTTACATGGCTGGCTCTGCCTCCTTGGCAATGGTAATTGGTGGCAACTTGGGGCGACGGTTCATTTTGGAAAATCTTTTCAATATCCTATATTCTATATGTTTTTGTCTATATCGTCCTCGTCGACTTTCTCCGGCAATTTTCTGGCGGATTCGATTCGGCAAAAAGTTCTGCAAAAAAACCTGGCAGATCGGATGTGGATGCGGCTATTTTTATGCTTTGGGTCGGTGATTTTGGGATCTCAGATCGGTTTTGGATCGTGTGGCCCGGTTTTTTTTGCCGCCCAACCTTTTCGCTTTTGCCTTTGCCTTCCTGTCCGCACTTTTCGCACTGTTTGCCGATCGCCTTTTTCGCTTCTCGTTTTTCTCGCTTTTCCACTAGTGCTGGTCAATCATCGATATTGCTATCGATTATCTGCCCTTCGACTGTGACGATATACCTAGCTTAATAGCAAAAGGTCAAGCCTTTCTTATCTATTTATAACTAAAAATATCGATATTATATGGTTTCTTTAACTATGACTAAAATTAAATAACTAAAATAAATTGATTCGATGGGAAAATCCATAATATCGATTGGTTATTATCAACCGGTATTGATAGTATCGATTGTGTATGGGTTGCAAACTTACATCCTTTTCATTATTTCCCTAAATGTTTTAGTATAATCTTTAAATTAAAATCTGTTTGAACCATTAACATTCTTCTTTTTGGCGCCTAAATGTACGTTTCTGATAATCAGTTAAATTAGCTTATAAACTTTTCTGAGATACTTAGTGGTTCGAATCCTTGCTGGGAGCACAGTCCTTGTTCAACTGTGGCATATTAAGGTACATCGGCTTTTTTCAGTACATTAAATGACAATGGGCTACAATATCCCAGAAACATTTTGGGATTCAGTATTTTATCAAAGGAATTGGAATTTTTTAGCACAATCGGCTACACACTATTGGCGTGGTCACACTGTTTTGTATTTGTACACGCGATTTAGGCAGCAAAAACGTACGAAACCGAGTGTTTAATTTCTGCCAGTGATACCGCCGCCCGCGGTCACCAAACCTAACGATCGCAACAATCCCGAGGAAAACACCAACCCCTCGTAGGGAAAGCAGCACACGAAATATCCTCCCAAAAAAGGAGGAAAAAAATCGCAAGTTGTTGTTGCCATTGCTGCTGAAAAAGAAAGAGAGAGAGGGCGCTGCGCGTGTGCATGGGTGTGTGTGTATTATTGAGGGTGTCTCTCTCTAACGCACAGTGACTGTGTTTTCCTTTTTTCGATTTTTTGTTTTTGTGCACCCCCGCCCCCATCTTCCGCCGCCCCCAACAACAACAAAAGTCCAGCGATCCGTTATTTGTGCAAGTGTAATCAACACAGACTCTGTGTGCGTGTGTGTGTGTGTGCCGCCAAACAAAAACAACAACAAAAACCGCGCACAACAAAACAATTCACACACACGCACCCTCCCCCGCCTGCGGCTGTGTGTGTGTGTGAGTGTGAGAGAAAGAGAGAGGCAGAAAAATCGAAGAAGTACTGGCCAAAAAAAAAAACGCAAAGAAACACACACTTATATATTTATATATACAAAAATACCAAAACCAATAATAAAACAAACAAAATACAATTAAAAACTGTGGGATAAATCAAGGAATATGTCCACCATTGAATTTGAGACGATCGGCAGCCGCCTACAATCCTTGGAGGCGAAGCTTCAGGCCCAAAATGAGTCCCACGACCAGATCGTCCTATCCGGTGCCCGCGGCCCAGGCGTTTCCGTTTCGTCCGCCCGTGTTCCGCCCCTGGCAGCATCCGCATCCTCATCAGCAGCCACATCCGCCGCCCACGTACCGCCCTTGGGCTTGGGTTCCGGTTCCGGATCCGGATCTGGTCTTAGCATAGCCCAACGGCCTGCACCTCCAGTTCCTCATGCGACATCCGTCGCCACCGCCTTGTCCTCATCCGCATCCGCCTCTATTTCATCCGTATCGTCGACAGGAGCCTTTGGCGGAGCATTTACCCCGCCCACAACTAGAGTGCCGCGAGCCACGCCCACACTGCCCATACGTAAGTCAACTCAATTTAAATCCTAACTAGAATAATACTTAAGAATTTGGATAGAATGATTCGAATGGTGAAGTATATAAGACCATCTTTAAGATACCAAATATTAGATCTCTAGAAAGCACCTTTAATTTCCGAATTTGTAATTGTGGATTCTGAACCTAGTATTGTTTTACAGAATAAGGAAGAATAGGCAATAGGAATAGAGGAAATAAAATCACAAATTAATCGCTTGATAAACATTGATCTTTCATAATTTGAACCTGAACAACCTACTGTCTTCCAATTGTTAATTTCTTACCATATTTGTATAAATATTCTGGGAAATTGGTCAAGTTAAAATATAAATTAAATACGTTTTATATTACTTTACCTCTAAAACAAAGATAATTCTGGAATTTTCTTACCAATCAAGTTCCAAGTACATACTTCGAAGCCCACCTAAAAACAGTTTTGATAATATTTCCTAGAAAGATCTAGGAATATCAGTCGAACCTTAGACAGGTGTAATCTAAATAGAGCCACTTTGACATATGCAGATTTAATGCTAACATCTTGACCGCCACTGTGGGTAATAAAAAGAGGGCTGAGAAAAATCGTGATCCCCAAAAATGGTCACCAAAAGTCTATATATATACCGTCGTAGCGCCAACCGCAAGCCACAAAACCATCTTTTGTCCGCATTTGTGTAAATATTTTGTTAATAAATTGTCATTGCCCAATAAGCTGCATATGTGTGTGTGTGTGTGTTTGTTTAAATTGTGATAAGGAAAGTGCTCATGTCTTTTTCTGTTGGCTTTTGGCTTTTGAGTATTTGAATTCCGCTAACAAAGGGCAACCGCTATCGATTCCCAACTGCATAACAGCTGCTCATAATCCCCCATTCCATCACCTCATCACCCCATCAACCCTGTATTTTCCCCACATTTACACACAGTTTTCCCCACAACCCCCCTGGTTCTCTCTGCTCTGTTTTTCCGATTGCATAGATAAGACAGACCAGGCCGCCAAGTGCGAAAACCAAAAAAATAAAAGCGAACTCAACTTGTTTTCGGCCCAAAAAAAAAAAAAAAAAAAAAAGAACCTACAGTGGTATTAGCAACTGTGCAAAGCGACCATTTTCGATTAGATTAACAATTCCTGGTATATTTATTTACCGCTTTCCACGAACTTCAGAAAATGTTTAATGGGTTTTTGAATAATCGAATACATTGCGCGTTGATTAGATTAGAATACTGTATGTTTCCATGACTTTTAAGAGTACAAAAGAGCACACTACAGCTATAACAGAGCAGTCAGTTATCAAATAGATAAATATGTTTTCCTAGTTATATTAATAGAGGTCTTACAATCTAAGTTACTAAGCTAAAAATAGCCCACTAAGTAGTAGCAATAAGTAGTGAGTTTTGCCTTACTTTAGGTTTCCAACAGTTAAGTAATATCATTAACTAGTACAATTCTTTTATCATTTTGATTAGCAACGTCTTTGCATTGTTTTTATTAATAAATTTTTAGTTTATTACAAAAATGTAAACATCAAAATTAAAGAGAAAAAACCAAAATAGTTCAATTGGTCAGTAAAATTCAATTTATTAAAATACCTTTTAATATTTTGACCACAATTGTATGTATGTTTATCCCATTATTTTGACCACAGCTGTATGGGACCACCCACTGCCCTTTCTTTTTCTCCTTTTCCCCTCCTGCTTCCCTCCCTTTTGACTTACATTTATGTCTCGCTTTGCATATTTTTCTTATTGGATTTTCATCAGCCATCAAGTGTTTTTTTATTTATTTATTTTCTTATTTATTTACTTTCCGCATGTGTGCGACTCTCTTTTCTCGCTTTTGGCGCTTTCTCGCTCTCGCGCGTTGCTTACTTTTTGGCATTTCCGGAGTAATGTCTTGATATGCCCGTTATTGTTGCTGTTTTTTTTTTTGTTTTTTTATTTTATTTTTTTGGGTCTCACATTTCTTCTCCACCGACACCGCCGCCTCGGCCTCCTCCCCTTCCAACCCACATTCATCGGCCATTCTGCCGTGTCTCCTGTTTCGCATGTTTACAAATAGCGTTATTTTTTATGACTTTCTGTTGTTGTAGTTGCTAATTGTTGATTTGAATTGCTGCCAGGGAAAATAACTTCGCAAACAAAAACAAAATCGCTCTCATTCGCTCTTCCTCTTTACGCACGCACACACACACACCCATACAAACGCATAATGGCACAGTGGGCCATATTCGGTATATGATTATAAGCATATGGAAAACCAATAATGAAAAAGTTCAAGGAACCAAGGCATTTTTAGGCTTAATATTAATTTGATGTTTTTTTTTTGATTGGGAATATAATATAGTTTTAATAGATTTCACTATACCATATCCAATTTGATCGAATTATGGAGACTTTTAGTGATAGACTTGATATCATAAAAATATAAACATTTTTACCTTAGTTCGACTTATAGAGATTTGATAATTGGTAAACTATAAACTATAATCTGTAAACTAACTAAAAATCTATCTGTAAAAATATCCTCCTAAGATTACAATACTAACCTACTGATTACTTTCCCCCCCTCTACAGTCTCAAGCGGTCCTGGTGGCGGAATCAACCGGACGCGACCGGTGATACTTCCGCTGCCCACGCCGCCGCATCCTCCAGTCTCGGAAACAGACAAAAAGCTAAAGATCATCATGGAGCAGACTGGGAAGCTGAATATCAACGGTCGGCAATATCCAACGGACATCAATGACCTCAAACATTTGGGCGATCTGGGCAATGGAACCAGTGGCAATGTGGTAAAGATGATGCACCTGTCCAGTAACATGGTCATTGCCGTCAAGCAGATGCGACGCACTGGCAATGCGGAGGAGAACAAACGTATCCTCATGGATTTGGATGTGGTGCTGAAGTCGCATGACTGCAAGTACATTGTGAAGTGCCTCGGGTGTTTTGTTCGTGATCCGGATGTATGGATCTGCATGGAACTGATGTCCATGTGCTTTGACAAGCTGCTCAAGCTGTCCAAGAAGCCGGTACCAGAGCAGATTCTTGGCAAGGTCACAGTGGCGGTAAGTTGTTGTTGTTGGGCTAGGTAATGCCTTGAAAAGGTTCCACTAATTGCTTTGTTTATATTTTTCAGACTGTCAATGCATTGTCCTATCTGAAGGACAAGCACGGGGTCATCCATCGCGATGTGAAGCCATCGAACATTCTAATCGACGAGCGTGGCAACATCAAGCTCTGTGATTTCGGGATCAGCGGTCGCCTGGTGGACTCCAAGGCCAACACTCGATCCGCCGGCTGTGCAGCTTATATGGCGGTGGGTTCATCTATAGGTTTAATATTGTGGTTTTTAGGGAATGATAAGGGTGTGATAACCCTTCTCTTAGAAGAAGTTTTTAATAGGAGAACATAAACAGACAAGCTTGCGGAAATGTTATTATAAACTATACCCCTTTTTTTTTGTTTTTTATTTAATCATTTAAATAATTAGCTCCACGAGCTTACAATTCATTCAATTTCTTGGAAAAATATAGGTCTATGTAGATTAGTTGATAGGCGTTATGACATGATATGTTATATTATAAGTTAATGAACGTGATCAGGAACATGTACGTAGGGTAAATTCACTTTGGCGATATGAGTAGCTGAAAGTTAGCAACGCAAGCAAATTATTTGAGATAATTCAGGCGTGAATTTGAGCATTTAATCAAAACGTATTGAATGAGGAATAATAAACAATTAGCTTCAGCTTTTGGTAGCAAGATTTATCCACAATAATATTCCACATTCGTATTATGATGTAATAATTATCAAAATATTCTTACAGCCTGAGCGCATTGACCCCAAGAAACCAAAGTACGACATTCGCGCCGATGTATGGTCATTGGGCATAACGCTGGTAGAGCTAGCCACTGCGCGATCTCCGTACGAAGGATGTAATACGGACTTCGAGGTGCTCACCAAGGTGCTGGACTCGGAGCCACCGTGTTTGCCCTACGGCGAGGGCTACAACTTTAGTCAGCAATTCCGCGATTTCGTCATCAAGTGGTGGGTGATCATAACTTAACTTATCTTAAATGCGCTTAAATAAAAAACCATCAATTTAATATGAAACTATCTATTGTAGCCTCACAAAGAACCATCAGGACCGACCCAAGTATCCGGAGCTACTGGCCCAGCCCTTCATCCGGACGTATGAAAAAGCCAAAGTAGATGTGCCCAATTGGTTTCAGAGCATCAAGGATAACCGGCTGCGTGCCAATGGCGATCCAACGCTCCAGAGGTGAGGCCCATCTATACAATCCGTTGATCTGCCTCAGATTCTCCAGCATTATTCCCACGACCCACGTCCGCTAATCCCGGCTGATGATGTGTTGTGCCTGTTGTGGATCTGTGTGTGTACGTGTGTGTGCGTGAGTGTGAATAGTGGATGTGTCTGATAATAATGCGGAGAGCTTTTAATTTACCACACTTTTCCGTTTCCGCTTTTGTTATATTTTCCAATTTTCCGTTCTCTGTTCTCTGCTTAATGCGCTTTCTCAAGTTCAACAGGTAGGAGAGGAAAAAAGCTGGGGAGCTGCAAATTTTGAATGCCTAACCGTAGGATGAAGATTTTCCCAAATTCATGTTTTCGCTAGCCAACTAAAACTGCTTGATTCTTATTTAATTTTGATTTTTCTAACTTATTTAACTCTTGTTTTTGCCCATTTTCTTTGGTAAGGCTATATTAACTTTCTAATTTAAACTTACCTTCTCTCTATCCTTTCCTATTTTTGGCATGCTTAGCTTCTTTTGTTTCATTTAATACACATCAAGAACTTAGATCCACATTTGTATTAAATCAAGTAACATTTTTTGTAAGGAAATTAGATAGAATTAGATTCTAATCTGCTGTGCTAGAATAAATGCTCTTTCCAACGGGGCTTAGATATAAAATAAATCTGTAAGAGTTAATACCTAATCTTAGCTCTTAGTTCTGTAACATAATTTGATTTCTAATCTTTGAACTTGCTGTTCCCTACTTAAGATTGCTTAAACTTAATATTATTTCCTTAAAGTTTTAAGTTCCTTTGGAAAGTGCAGGTAGTCCTTTGTAGTCTGCTTTCCACGCAATGACCTGTCTATCTTCCAGCAGTCCTTTCTTCAGCCCCTTAGGCACCTTTCTTAGTAACTTAAGGAGAAAAAATGTATTTCTGAAATAATTATGCTTTTTCTCCTTTTTTGCGTTTATTTAAATTTTTGTTTAAATTTGAGTGTGTGTGTGCGATGTTTTTATTTTCCTTTTTCATCTTTTTTATTACCATTTTTTGTAGGTTACCTAATTCCTAATACCATTTCTTAAACAATAATGACAAAACAAATGAAACAAATGAAAACCGATAAACATAAAATCTAACAACAAAATAAATGCAAACGAAAAAGATGAAGACAAACTATAAACAAAAACCAAACATTAAAAACCTATCGACATAAACTTAAAACAAAAACGAAAAAACTAAAACTAAAAGAAAAACAAAAACGAAAAACAAAAAACAAAAGCATTCAAGTAAGACTTGCAACCCATCAACTCTATATACAGATATATAAACCTAAATATATATATAGATATATATGTATATATATATGTATATATATATGTATGTATTTACCTATATATAACGATAATGCCAACCAAAACATAACTACTCAAAAAATATGAACTATAAACAAAAAAAAAAAACTCCTCCCAATTAAAAGTAAAATTCAGTAAGTACGATGACTTTTTTATTCTTATTATTAGCCATCTCAATTATGTTTTTATTCGTTAAGTGTAACCGTTTAATCGTTGTCAAAACACATGCCACATGCTCTGCTAACTTTTATTTAATTTAATTTTAGCCATTTAACTTGGTTTTTGGTTTCGGTTTAGTTTTTTCTATCTGCATGTTTTTATGAGCTTGGCTTTGGTATTGGTTTTCGTTTTTAATTTAATCTATGCTTTGTTTATTTACCCATCTAGAAATGCTCATACACCAGAAAAGGTAATTTTACATTTAATTTATATTGCTCATCGATTTTTAAGTTCACTTCATTCCGTTTATAAGTCGCTGGAAAAATCCATAAAGTTTTCATTTGCCATTTGTATGTGTTTTCCCATTTCCCCAAAAAGTGAGCTAGTTAGTGAATTAGTTAGTTAAATTTAATCAGTTTATTAACAGCTTTTACTTAGTTTGTTTAAATTTAGTAGATATCTAAGGACTTTAAAGGGTTAATCTTGGTTAAACTTTCACAGAAAATGGCTAAATAATGTTAGTTAGTTTTGACATTATCCTGGACTTTAAATATGTTTATCCCCCCTTTTTATACCCGTTACTCGTAGAGTAAAAGGGTATACTAGATTCGTTGAAAAGTATGTAACAGATAGAAGGAAGCTTTTGCGACCCTATAAAGTATATATATTCTTGATCAGGATCAATAGCGAAGTCGATTGAGCCATGTCCGTCTGTCCGTCCGTCCGTCCGTCCGTCCGTCCGTCCGTCCGTCCGTCCGTCCGTCCGTCCGTCCGTCCGTCCGTCCGTCCGTCCGTCCGTCCGTCCGTCCGTCCGTCCGTCCGTCCGTCCGTCCGTCCGTCCGTCCGTATGAACGCTGAGATCTCAGGAACTATAGCAGATACAAAGCTGAGATTAAGCATGAAGATTCTTGAGGTCCCGGGACAGCGCAAGTTTATTACAGCATCCTGCCACGCCCACTCTAACGCCCACAAATCGCAAAAAACTAAAATTGCTGAAATCTCAGGAACTATTGCAGTTAGAAAGTTGAAATTCAAAAAGTATAATCTTTAGATGGCAGCGCATCTTATAGTGCTACTACTATCCGGCCACACCCACCCATACGCCCACAAGGCTCAAAAGACGGTTTTCGGATTTTCTAGAAAAGCTGATATCTCGGTAACTATAAGAGATAGAAAGTTCGGATCAAGCATGTATGTTTCTATAATGCTCCCAATGCGAATTGTTTTTTTCCAATCACGCCACGCCCACTCGAACGCCCACAAAACCCGAAAAACCAAAAATGCAAAAATTCCGAAAACTATAAAAGCTACACAATTTTGCTTAAGAACACGTATTTAGGAGATTCCTCTGCAACTTGCCACGAAGTTGCATCCGGCCACGCCCACTCTAACGCCCACAAACCGCGGAAAACTGTGGAGTCTATAATATTATTATGAATGCCTTCGTTTGACCTTGTGTAACTTATTTTTGTTAATATCTATCGACTTACAAAAGATTTTTCAAATCGGAACATTATTTCGCTATTTATGAAGAAATTAAGGTTATAAGGCTCCACATGGGCAGTGACGTCACTATAAGCATACTCAACATACTTCCTCTGACAATAGGTGGCGCCTTGTGAATTTCCACTAGCAAAATTTATATTTTAAAATTGTGTAAAACAGTAACGGGTATCTTATAGTCGCGGCACTCGACTATAGCGTTTCCTCTTGTTTTTCTTAAAGAGTTTGATTATTTATATGTGAATATCATTTTAATATTTATTTTACCCTTTCAATGGGTATTTTCTTATAATTTCCATGATTTTTCTTAAGGAGTTCTTACAAGTTAAATATTAGCCAACCACTATGAGCAGGAATCCATATATTCTGTGCAGCCATCTTTCGCTTTCGCTCCTTCTGTGACCTTTTACCTGTGTTTTCCACCTGTCGCTTACACACACAAGAACACAACACACCACATACACCCACCAACACACTCATCGAACTGTATATACAAACATACAAACAAACACACACACACACACACATTACACATACAAAATGCGATCACAGCTCATCATCTAAATGTGTTAGATATGTTGCCATGCGCCGTCTATATATGTACATGAACCCCACCCTCCACTTCCTGGATATTCCTGTCACTCCCTTTTCCAAAAAAAAAGCCATGTATACCCCCCTAACACCCGGATAAAACCACCCATCTCCTCCTCCAAAACACAAATCCCTCTTCCTGCCACTGGCGTACATTTGAGTGTGCTCTCATTATTGGTTTAAATCCGACATCCATGATCATCCAATCCTAATCGGGTTTATTATTAACTTGCAGGGCAACGGCGACTGGAAGTGGAGCCGGCTCTGGTTCCGGATCTCTAGCAGGATCAGGATCATCCGCAGGTGGAGCTATTAAATATGGTAGGACAACGTCGTCGACGTATACGGCGCAGAGTCCAACGAATCAGCAGAAGACAATAAAACCCACTCAGATACCGAGTTACCAGCAGCAACAGTCGCAGTATTTCATGCAATCAGCCACACAACTACCTCAAATAACAACAACAACAACAAATACCACAACACCAACGTCAACGACTAACTGTTTCGGTGGCAGCAGTAGCGGTAGCGGTAACAACGGAAACGGAAGAGGAAATGGCAGCGGAAGCGGAAATGGTAGCGGCAGCAGTAGCAGTGCCAGCCCATTATCGCCACCAAGCGGCGGGATCGGTGATCTAAACCGACTTTATCGCAAGTCGCCGTTCATGCAGCGAAAACTGAGCAACGGATCCCATCATCCGCACTACAAATACAACGATGAGAGTCCCAAGAAGGAGTCCATGTTCAGTAGCATCGGTGAGTAGTGGTGAACTAGATATTAGTCGAACTTGTTAGCTACATTCAAGATATAGGATTTGAATGCAAATCAATTGGGAATCATGGCAATCAAGTTACGAGCCCTACGAGGTATTACATTCCTCATTTGGGCCATTTTTGGCTGTGCTATGGCTAAAAAACTGAAATTCTTGCACTCAAAAATCAAGTATACGCCTTTTGGCAGCAGAATGCCCGGTTTTGTTGCCGTTTCTTAGCTCTAACTTTGTCAAAACAAGACGCACAGCTAAAACAAAAACGGTTTTATGCAGCTAACAACCAACACTTTAAGGCCCTATACCCACTTTTTACATTGATGTACTGCTCTTTTCCTGCGAGTGCTGATTTCATGGCTGAAAAATCAAAATGCAATATTTGTTGCGGGTTTTCAGCTCTAGCTCGGCCAAAACAAGACGCACAGCCAAAAGAACGACTGTTTCGTGCTGCTAACGACCAACACTAACCACCCCTATCACCCGTTTTTCGATTTTGGGAAAGTCAATTCTGGCCCAAATTTCGCATTTTTGATAAGGGGTACCATCATCAAAATTTTCAAAAATGGGCCAAAAATGAAGTTTCCCAGATTTGAATGCAAATCAATTGGGAATCATGGCAATCAAGTTACGAGCCCTACGAGGTATTACATTCCTTATTTGGGCCATTTTTGGCTGTGCTATGGCTAAAAAACTGAAATTCTTGCACTCAAAAATCAAGTATACGCCTTTTGGCAGCAGAATGCCCGGTTTTGTTGCCGTTTCTTAGCTCTAACTTTGTCAAAACAAGACGCACAGCTAAAACAAAAACGGTTTTATGCAGCTAACAACCAACACTTTAAGGCCCTATACCCACTTTTTACATTGATGTACTGCTCTTTTCCTGCGAGTGCTGATTTCATGGCTGAAAAATCAAAATGCAATATTTGTTGCGGGTTTTCAGCTCTAGCTCGGCCAAAACAAGACGCACAGCCAAAAGAACGACTGTTTCGTGCTGCTAACGACCAACACTAACCACCCCTATCACCCGTTTTTCGATTTTGGGAAAGTCAATTCTGGCCCAAATTTCGCATTTTTGATAAGGGGTACCATCATCAAAATTTTCAAAAATGGGCCAAAAATGAAGTTTCCCAGATTTGAATGCAAATCAATTGGGAATCATGGCAATCAAGTTACGAGCCCTACGAGGTATTACATTCCTTATTTGGGCCATTTTTGGCTGTGCTATGGCTAAAAACTGAAATTCTTGCACTCAAAAATCAAGTATACGCCTTTTGGCAGCAGAATGCCCGGTTTTGTTGCCGTTTCTTAGCTCTAACTTTGTCAAAACAAGACGCACAGCTAAAACAAAAACGGTTTTATGCAGCTAACAACCAACACTTTAAGGCCCTATACCCACTTTTTACATTGATGTACTGCTCTTTTCCTGCGAGTGCTGATTTCATGGCTGAAAAATCAAAATGCAATATTTGTTGCGGGTTTTCAGCTCTAGCTCGGCCAAAACAAGACGCACAGCCAAAAGAACGACTGTTTCGTGCTGCTAACGACCAACACTAACCACCCCTATCACCCGTTTTTCGATTTTGGGAAAGTCAATTCTGGCCCAAATTTCGCATTTTTGATAAGGGGTACCATCATCAAAATTTTCAAAAATGGGCCAAAAATGAAGTTTCCCAGATTTGAATGCAAATCAATTGGGAATCATGGCAATCAAGTTACGAGCCCTACGAGGTATTACATTCCTCATTTGGGCCATTTTTGGCTGTGCTATGGCTAAAAAACTGAAATTCTTGCACTCAAAAATCAAGTATACGCCTTTTGGCAGCAGAATGCCCGGTTTTGTTGCCGTTTCTTAGCTCTAACTTTGTCAAAACAAGACGCACAGCTAAAACAAAAACGGTTTTATGCAGCTAACAACCAACACTTTAAGGCCCTATACCCACTTTTTACATTGATGTACTGCTCTTTTCCTGCGAGTGCTGATTTCATGGCTGAAAAATCAAAATGCAATATTTGTTGCGGGTTTTCAGCTCTAGCTCGGCCAAAACAAGACGCACAGCCAAAAGAACGACTGTTTCGTGCTGCTAACGACCAACACTAACCACCCCTATCACCCGTTTTTCGATTTTGGGAAAGTCAATTCTGGCCCAAATTTCGCATTTTTGATAAGGGGTACCATCATCAAAATTTTCAAAAATGGGCCAAAAATGAAGTTTCCCAGATTTGAATGCAAATCAATTGGGAATCATGGCAATCAAGTTACGAGCCCTACGAGGTATTACATTCCTTATTTGGGCCATTTTTGGCTGTGCTATGGCTAAAAAACTGAAATTCTTGCACTCAAAAATCAAGTATACGCCTTTTGGCAGCAGAATGCCCGGTTTTGTTGCCGTTTCTTAGCTCTAACTTTGTCAAAACAAGACGCACAGCTAAAACAAAAACGGTTTTATGCAGCTAACAACCAACACTTTAAGGCCCTATACCCACTTTTTACATTGATGTACTGCTCTTTTCCTGCGAGTGCTGATTTCATGGCTGAAAAATCAAAATGCAATATTTGTTGCGGGTTTTCAGCTCTAGCTCGGCCAAAACAAGACGCACAGCCAAAAGAACGACTGTTTCGTGCTGCTAACGACCAACACTAACCACCCCTATCACCCGTTTTTCGATTTTGGGAAAGTCAATTCTGGCCCAAATTTCGCATTTTTGATAAGGGGTACCATCATCAAAATTTTCAAAAATGGGCCAAAAATGAAGTTTCCCAGATTTGAATGCAAATCAATTGGGAATCATGGCAATCAAGTTACGAGCCCTGCGAGGTATTATATTCCTCATTTGGGCCATTTTTGGCTGTGCTATGGCTAAAAAACTGAAATTCTTGCACTCAAAAATCAAGTATACGCCTTTTGGCAGCAGAATGCCCGGTTTTGTTGCCGTTTCTTAGCTCTAACTTTGTCAAAACAAGACGCACAGCTAAAACAAAAACGGTTTTATGCAGCTAACAACCAACACTTTAAGGCCCTATACCCACTTTTTACATTGATGTACTGCTCTTTTCCTGCGAGTGCTGATTTCATGGCTGAAAAATCAAAATGCAATATTTGTTGCGGGTTTTCAGCTCTAGCTCGGCCAAAACAAGACGCACAGCCAAAAGAACGACTGTTTCGTGCTGCTAACGACCAACACTAACCACCCCTATCACCCGTTTTTCGATTTTGGGAAAGTCAATTCTGGCCCAAATTTCGCATTTTTGATAAGGGGTACCATCATCAAAATTTTCAAAAATGGGCCAAAAATGAAGTTTCCCAGATTTGAATGCAAATCAATTGGGAATCATGGCAATCAAGTTACGAGCCCTACGAGGTATTACATTCCTTATTTGGGCCATTTTTGGCTGTGCTATGGCTAAAAAACTGAAATTCTTGCACTCAAAAATCAAGTATACGCCTTTTGGCAGCAGAATGCCCGGTTTTGTTGCCGTTTCTTAGCTCTAACTTTGTCAAAACAAGACGCACAGCTAAAACAAAAACGGTTTTATGCAGCTAACAACCAACACTTTAAGGCCCTATACCCACTTTTTACATTGATGTACTGCTCTTTTCCTGCGAGTGCTGATTTCATGGCTGAAAAATCAAAATGCAATATTTGTTGCGGGTTTTCAGCTCTAGCTCTGGCAAAACAAGACGCACAGCCAAAAGAACGACTGTTTCGTGCTGCTAACGACCAACACTAACCACCCCTATCACCCGTTTTTCGATTTTGGGAAAGTCAATTCTGGCCCAAATTTCGCATTTTTGATAAGGGGTACCATCATCAAAATTTTCAAAAATGGGCCAAAAATGAAGTTTCCCAGATTTGAATGCAAATCAATTGGGAATCATGGCAATCAAGTTACGAGCCCTACGAGGTATTACATTCCTTATTTGGGCCATTTTTGGCTGTGCTATGGCTAAAAACTGAAATTCTTGCACTCAAAAATCAAGTATACGCCTTTTGGCAGCAGAATGCCCGGTTTTGTTGCCGTTTCTTAGCTCTAACTTTGTCAAAACAAGACGCACAGCTAAAACAAAAACGGTTTTATGCAGCTAACAACCAACACTTTAAGGCCCTATACCCACTTTTTACATTGATGTACTGCTCTTTTCCTGCGAGTGCTGATTTCATGGCTGAAAAATCAAAATGCAATATTTGTTGCGGGTTTTCAGCTCTAGCTCGGCCAAAACAAGACGCACAGCCAAAAGAACGACTGTTTCGTGCTGCTAACGACCAACACTAACCACCCCTATCACCCGTTTTTCGATTTTGGGAAAGTCAATTCTGGCCCAAATTTCGCATTTTTGATAAGGGGTACCATCATCAAAATTTTCAAAAATGGGCCAAAAATGAAGTTTCCCAGATTTGAATGCAAATCAATTGGGAATCATGGCAATCAAGTTACGAGCCCTGCGAGGTATTATATTCCTCATTTGGGCCATTTTTGGCTGTGCTATGGCTAAAAAAACTGAAATTCTTGCACTCAAAAATCAAGTATACGCCTTTTGGCAGCAGAATGCCCGGTTTTGTTGCCGTTTCTTAGCTCTAACTTTGTCAAAACAAGACGCACAGCTAAAACAAAAACGGTTTTATGCAGCTAACAACCAACACTTTAAGGCCCTATACCCACTTTTTACATTGATGTACTGCTCTTTTCCTGCGAGTGCTGATTTCATGGCTGAAAAATCAAAATGCAATATTTGTTGCGGGTTTTCAGCTCTAGCTCGGCCAAAACAAGACGCACAGCCAAAAGAACGACTGTTTCGTGCTGCTAACGACCAACACTAACCACCCCTATCACCCGTTTTTCGATTTTGGGAAAGTCAATTCTGGCCCAAATTTCGCATTTTTGATAAGGGGTACCATCATCAAAATTTTCAAAAATGGGCCAAAAATGAAGTTTCCCAGATTTGAATGCAAATCAATTGGGAATCATGGCAATCAAGTTACGAGCCCTACGAGGTATTACATTCCTTATTTGGGCCATTTTTGGCTGTGCTATGGCTAAAAAACTGAAATTCTTGCACTCAAAAATCAAGTATACGCCTTTTGGCAGCAGAATGCCCGGTTTTGTTGCCGTTTCTTAGCTCTAACTTTGTCAAAACAAGACGCACAGCTAAAACAAAAACGGTTTTATGCAGCTAACAACCAACACTTTAAGGCCCTATACCCACTTTTTACATTGATGTACTGCTCTTTTCCTGCGAGTGCTGATTTCATGGCTGAAAAATCAAAATGCAATATTTGTTGCGGGTTTTCAGCTCTAGCTCGGCCAAAACAAGACGCACAGCCAAAAGAACGACTGTTTCGTGCTGCTAACGACCAACACTAACCACCCCTATCACCCGTTTTTCGATTTTGGGAAAGTCAATTCTGGCCCAAATTTCGCATTTTTGATAAGGGGTACCATCATCAAATTTTTCAAAAATGGGCCAAAAATGAAGTTTCCCAGATTTGAATGCAAATCAATTGGGAATCATGGCAATCAAGTTACGAGCCCTGCGAGGTATTATATTCCTCATTTGGGCCATTTTTGGCTGTGCTATGGCTAAAAAACTGAAATTCTTGCACTCAAAAATCAAGTATACGCCTTTTGGCAGCAGAATGCCCGGTTTTGTTGCCGTTTCTTAGCTCTAACTTTGTCAAAACAAGACGCACAGCTAAAACAAAAACGGTTTTATGCAGCTAACAACCAACACTTTAAGGCCCTATACCCACTTTTTACATTGATGTACTGCTCTTTTCCTGCGAGTGCTGATTTCATGGCTGAAAAATCAAAATGCAATATTTGTTGCGGGTTTTCAGCTCTAGCTCGGCCAAAACAAGACGCACAGCCAAAAGAACGACTGTTTCGTGCTGCTAACGACCAACACTAACCACCCCTATCACCCGTTTTTCGATTTTGGGAAAGTCAATTCTGGCCCAAATTTCGCATTTTTGATAAGGGGTACCATCATCAAAATTTTCAAAAATGGGCCAAAAATGAAGTTTCCCAGATTTGAATGCAAATCAATTGGGAATCATGGCAATCAAGTTACGAGCCCTACGAGGTATTACATTCCTTATTTGGGCCATTTTTGGCTGTGCTATGGCTAAAAAACTGAAATTCTTGCACTCAAAAATCAAGTATACGCCTTTTGGCAGCAGAATGCCCGGTTTTGTTGCCGTTTCTTAGCTCTAACTTTGTCAAAACAAGACGCACAGCTAAAACAAAAACGGTTTTATGCAGCTTACAACCAAAACTTTAAACCCCTAGTCATTATTATTCTGATTTGTTGCTGCGAATGCCGATTAAATGGCTAAGAAAGCAGGATATATAGACATTATTTTAGTTCATGAATCAACCCATTTAATTCTAGGTCAATCGATTTTACGCAATCTGACAACATCGCCCTTCAGCCAAAAGAAACATAATTCAGCAGCAGCGACTGCAACGACAACAACACCACTGCCGCACAACAACCAAACATTATTCACGGATGCTGCAACGGCAACGACAACAGCAACAACACCGCCAAATATTGCAGCTGCAGTGCCGCCCACAACAACGCCAACGACCACGCCCACTTGGCGCCTGCCAGCGGACAATTCCCAAGCCTACGACAGCTGTGATAGTAGTAGTAATGCGACCACGACCTTGAACTTGGGCCTCTCTTCACCCTCACCATCGTTGCCCCGCAAGCAATTCTCCACTGAATCGCCGACCCTGCAACTCGCCAATCAGCAACAACAGCAACAGCAACAGCAACAGCAGCAGCAGCAGCAGCAACCACAGCGATTGCAGCCGGGCAATCAGAGTCCTATAGGTAAGCCAGTTCTAAATTCTATTATTTATGGAAGTATAATAAAGTTATTCACCTCTTTTTGCAGTACTGCAGCGCTTCTACCATCAGCAGAATCAGCTGCGCGAAAAGGAGGCGGCGGAGCGGTATCAGCAGCAACGTCAACAGCCGCCCTCGTCGCCGGCCATGGGAGTGACCAGTACCAATCCGTTTCACAGCAATTATGTGCCGCCGCCGCCATCGACGCACTCCACCTCTAGTCAATCCTCCACACAATCGACGTGTTCACAAATCGCCGTCAATCCCGCCAGCTTATCGCCATCGACGGGATCGGGAACGGGCACAATAGCGGGATCAGGGGCAGCTGGTCATTTTGGAGCAGGGGGCACTGGTGAACAAATGCAATATCAACCTTTGCCCATTGCTGCTGACTCAACAGTGACGAGTCCCACGATGCTGCCCAGATCACCGGAGCAACAATCGGATTATGGTGGAAGCAGCTCCATGGTATCCAGCAAGCTGAGCAAGCTCTATGCACGTCGACAACTTTTGGGTCAGAGCTCGAGCAGCGGGGCAAGCACCAGCAGTTTAGATGGTTGCAGCAGGGATCAGCATGATGCGGGTGAGTCATCCATCCTTATGGATTCATTGATTTCTCTTCACAATCTCGGAGAAAGCTGATTTTATTTCTGAGTCTAACATCGCTCTTTTGATTTCGCTTTGAACTATGCTAAGTTGCGCTTGTATTTATACATTTTCCATTTTCCATTTCCGTTTCGTTTCTTTCTCTTCGTTTTCTGCACACCGCACACCAATGCACTGAATCACTGCATCACCATGCACCATGAAACCACGCACCCATCATGACTCAATTCTCATCAAAACCAAACATATTAACGAACCAATCAGGCTGGTTCAACACACTTGCCGGCGCCATGAAGAGACAGTTTGCCACCTATGTTAAAACCCAATTGAATTCCACAGCCACGTCACCGGTGGCCGCCAGCATGGATCGGGACCAGGAGCCTGGGCATCCGCAGCCACCGGCCTACAGGAGCATCGTGAACAATGGCAGCGGCGGAAAGTCCTACTACTATCGCACCTTGTCGGCGGCCAGCAGCAGTAGTAATACCAGTCAGAGCACCTCGCCGACGACGGAACCACTGCCCGGAGGCGGTACCAGTAGCTTTCTGCGACGCTACGCCAGCAGTGGACCGGGAATGGGCGGCGGTGGTGGCAGCATTAGTACACCGCCAAGTCCACACATCTTGGCAGGTTTGGATCGCAGGCATCGAAGTCCGGATCCACCGCCGCGGTACAATCGTGGACAATCGCCGCTGTTGCTGCGTAAGAATCTGCTGGAGCTCAGTGGTCAGTCGCCCGGCTCACCGCTCCTGCACCGAAGGTGGGTTTTGGGTAGCCAATAGAGATCTGATTGAGTAAATTAACGGTGGTTAAATAATGAATAAGTCTAACCGCAAACGTAACTTACAAGTCAAGGTCTCTAGTAGTCAAGCCATCCTGCTCTAATTCCTGATAATTCTAAACTATCTCTGTCCCTTTCAGATACGTGTCGGCCTCGCCACCGTTGCCGCCGCCACGTCGAGGATCTGAAAGTGTGCCTGGATCACCGCAGCACTTTCGCACCCGCATCCACTATACGCCCGAGCCCCAGAGACGCATCTACCGCACGATAGATCAATGAGTAGCACTGCAAATCATGGTCATGTGATGCTGGTACGGCTTCGACGACGATGCCGCCGCCGATGCTGCTGCTGCTGAACACGACGATGATCAGGATGGTGTGCTATTGGAGCCCGTTTCCTTGCCCATCTCATCGTCGTCGTCGGCGGTAGTTGGCGGCGACTCGCTGTCGATGCCGGCGTATGCCGATGAACTGGCCACTAGATCATCTGAGGTCGAACGACGATTGACCGGTGGTCGTCGGGCATATTCGGCCAGTGGATCGTATGCCAGCCTGTATTCGGATAGAGATGAGTGGCCAGGACGAGCATCTAGCTCAGCGGGAAGAGGAGGATCGATGACCAATAGAACTGGATACCCGTGGACATGTGATTGATGACAAACGAAAGTGTTCAAAAGTCTTATACGTTTAAGTGCTTGAGCCTCAGCGAATTCATTGGCATCCGCTAAAATCTGCTAAAAACAAAAAAAAAAAAAAAAAAAGAAAAGAAAACACTTAGTTTCGTTGCGCAGCTGCAAATTGTACATAGACATATATCTGTAGGGATCCTATATAGACACAACCGATAATAGTGCAATAGTTGAAAGCAATTCTGTTCATCCCCTTGTATACCCTGTAACCAAATCTATTCTATCTTCTATATAGATATATATATATATATCTCCCCCTATCTGTGTCTGTATCTCTCCTTCAAACGGTAACTCTGTAATCAAAAGTTTACACTTTACACACAACAAAGAAAAAGTAAATTATTTAATCGTAGCTCTTAAAACAAAAACAAAAAAACAAAGGAAAAATAATAGCTAAATCGAAAGGCGAAAAAAATCCAAGAGAAAATTAAATGAAAATGTGAAAATTCAAATGATTTGTAGCTTTGTATATAGAGAGGAGGCGAAGTGCAAAAGGTCGTTGCATTTGCTGTTTGCAATTTGTTTTAGTTTAAAGATTTCATTAAACATCAACTTGTATGCTGAGTGGAAGGGAAACCAACAACAAAACAAACAACAACCAACAAACAAAACAAACAACATTAACAATGGAATTATTGTACTGATTATTATAATTGTTTAATTTATTATGTAAGCGGCAACAAGCAACAATTCAAATTCAAATTTTCATTTGGTTTTTTATTTCAACAAATGGGGGGAAAACAATGGTTCTTTTTTCAGAACTTGTTAGTAAGGGAAAATGGATGAAAACCCTTCTCAGAAATATGGAATATTTGGATTGCTTTGAAAAAACTTTTAATGATCTTGGAAAATACCATACAAAGCCTGAATCCATCTTTTCATTTCTTCTAGTTTCTAGTTTCCATTCTCATATTTATATTTAAAAAATATAAAATCAAAACAATAAATCATTAAACTGAAATAAGTCTGTGTTTTACTTACATTTTAAATTATAGTTTTTCCAATCTGAAATGAAAATAAAAAAATAATAAGTAAATAAATAAATAATCAGTGAAAAACTTAAAAAACTTAACTTTCCCACCACCACCTTAACAATATAAACTTACAAATTCTTAATTTTTTTTAAGTTTTTATTTTATGGTTTTCCTGTTATGCTTGGCTCTGGCAATTACAACATTTATTTTTAGCTTTTATTCCGCATTCAATTGAGTTTTGTTTTTCGATTAAACAAATGTTTGTTTTTCTTTCTCTTTTTTGTTATTTATTTTTTTAGTTTGGGTATATTTTGTAGATGTAGATCGTCAGCTCAAAAGGAGTCACGGACTTTACACTGAATGGATATATCTATATATATATATCTTTTTGGTTTTCTGTCTTTCTATCAAAAGTGAGTCCGTCGGAGCAACACACACTTTATGCACCACTCTCTGCCAGCCGGTGGTTGTGGGTGGGTTTTAATTACGGCAGAGGGGGCGGTGGCCAGTGGGCTGTGCCGATCGGAACAAACATATAGAAACAGCGCTTATTGTTTAGTTTTCGGTATATCGGTTATCTGCGGTAAATACATTTATATTAATCAGATGAGTACATTCAGTTCAAACAGTATATTCGAGTCGATAGAGCCGACAGTAAAAATACAGCTATGCTTTATATGCTCATTTTTTCAAATCTGTTGCTATTTCTTTTTTAGTTTCTCTGTAGATTAATTTAACTAAAAAAAAAAATACCTTACAACATTTGTATAACTAACTTTGAATTGAATGGCTTATATTTCGGCCTTCTCTGTCTCAAAATACTTCAAAGAGTTTGTTAATTACATTATTTTTTCGGTCACACAATATCATCATCATCTCTCTGTTCGTTTCTGTTGCATTCCAAGTTTTTCAAAAAACCAGACTCCAAAAAATCTCTCTTTGCCTGTTACTATTTTCCATTTACTTGTCGCAGTTTTAGGTTTTTAGTTTATCTTTTAGTTTTAGTTTTAGCTGGTTTTTGTTTTGTTTTTTATATTGTTAAACATTTATTCGGTTTTTGCACATTGAAAGCGTTTAATTATTGATTTTTCCTTTGTTTGTGTTGTTGGGTTTTCTCTCTTTTTTAGGGTTTTAATATTTGTTATATCTTAAATTTATGCTTACATATGTATGACCTGCCAGACATTTGATAAACTTGGTTGTACAGTTAGACATTGAATTTTGATATATGCGTCTTTGAACATTTAAGTGAAACCCTTTTGGAAATGCTGCCGTTTACATTTAGTTTTCATGTTGCATCAGATTTTGCTTCATTTTTCTTTTATTGATCAACAAATCAGGGCAAGATTTTGAACTAACTTGAAAAGGAAAACAAAAATCCGGATAAAAGTTGGTAAGAGAAAATGGTAAACCAAAAAACCAAATTAGTTTCGGGAATACAAAATGTAAATACAGGACTGACTGATTTCCGAGGGGATCTATAAAACGACTGTTCTTCTATTGGATGATATTTATAGGGTTTTGCTATTTTTTCTCCTTCAAGGAAGTTTGGTTTTTAGGATCTATTTTAATGGTAACACATTGAGTGTTGCCTTTGTTTAATCTATGTATTGCTGGGTTTAGGTTTGGGCTTTCTTTTTAGCCTTAAGTTGAATTTGTTTTCAGGTTTTCTCTGGGTTTTAGTTTCTTGATTCCAATCCATGAGGAGGAACTCCATTCAGCTGGTTTGTCCTCCTTGTTACGGAGACTTCCGGTTTTTTTTTTTGGGGTTGTATCCTTAGGTCAAGTACTTATTATTGGTTAATACAAACATACACTTAGATATTGCACTTATGTATCGGTTTTTCTGGTTTTCTGGACTCTCGCTTTTCATTTTTTCTTGTATCAACAAGGTTTTTGTTTTTGTTTTTTTTTTGGTAACTTTACAGTTTAGTAATAACTACTAGTTTACCAGTTAGTTAATGTACAGGTTGTCTTGAAACGTTGATGCTTATCATACGTTTTGGTATTAACAAATTAACAGACAATACAAAAAACACAAAAAAAAAAGCATTCGAACAGTTAGATTATGCTTGCAATTCTCATGAACATTTAAGTACATCGTAATATAGTATTTTCTTAGGTAATAATCTTTGGGGTTTTCTTTTTTGGTAACTCTTCTTTATCGTCGTTCGAGGGAAAAGGGAAAGGGATCTTCTTTTTTTTTGTTTTTGTTCAGCTTACATTGTTCAATAACATTGATTAAAAAAATTCTTCTTTTTTCTTTTTTATTTTCATATTAATTTGGTTTCTTTTTTTTTTAAGTTTTAAGTCTTTGTTTTTCATCAGTAAGCGTTTGTTTTTTGTTTTCTTTTCTGGTTTTTCCTTTTTTTTTTTGCGAATGTTTTTCCTTGCTGTATTTTATTTGTTTTTTTTTCCTTTTCTTTTGGTTATCTTCGATTGTGTGGGTATCAAAAATCGAATGCCACAGTGGTTCCTTAACAGACTAGTCTACATACCTTCCTAGGACAATCATACACGACGCACGACGTACACATATATGTTGGGTAATACTTGTAGAAAATGCTTATGCTTTTTGCCTGGCTTCTCCATCATATTCATTTCTTTTTTTTTTTTTTGTTGTTTTTTACTTTTTTAATTCATTTTGTTAGAGGGGGGCGGGAGGGGGTGGGGTTTGGCCGCCGTCTCCCTCCGCTCTCTCCTTGTAATCCCCCCCGCAAAAATCAGGGGGCTCTTGTCATTCCGGGGTGAATGTAAGAGTTAACAATGTCAGTTTCGATTTGGATGGTTCGGGCGCCTATTCGAGCCATGGGTTAACGCATACATACACACATCTGTCACACACACACACACACACTCTCACACACTGCTGATAAGATGCTATCTTTACAATAATTTCTTTTTATAATTTCCACAAATCCAATTGCCTAGCTAGGTATGAAAAATTTAGTACAGAAACAACATTCTTTACCTTAAAAATTATTTACTTGGAAAAATGTTCATCAAACCTAAGGAACTCTTTTGGGAAATTCAAACCCATTTCATGTTTAGAACATAAAATATTAAGGGTTTGGTTTTACAAGGCTAGTTAGAAATGGAAAAGTATAGTAAAGAAGCTGAATAAGAGTTTTATACAAAAAAAATTAATTAAAAATGGAAAAAAAAATATAAAAAATACATTTCTTTCAAGTTAAAAACATTTTTAACAAAATTATCTTTGAAAAGCATGATGAACTCTATCCAATGAACTTATCTAGGTTTTTATATTGTAGGTAAAAAAGTAAATATTCACCCAAACATTCTTCAGACTCGCTCGCTACATTCATAGAAAAAAAGTTAAGCCTAAATTCTAGAAATTCGCCAATTCAATTTTGTATAATTTTTTATATAAATTTTAAAGAAAATGTTTGAAATTGGAAAGATTTGTCCAAAATAAAGAAGAATTTAAAACAATTTACGGAAAGGCTTTTTTTTTAGTTATTTTTCTGGCGAATTTCTTAATATTAGGTTTAAGTTTCTTGATCAGTCACACAGGGATACACCCGCTGTATTAATAACGCCGACCGCTGCCGCTGCTACCGCTGGCGCATCCGCCGTCCCCGCTACTCCCGCTGGCCCCATCGGCTGCCCAGCGTTTTCGGCGCGCCTCCTTGGCAGCCTGCATTTGGGCAGCCACTCGACTGGTACTCGGGGCATTATCGAAACTGGCATAGAGCTCAACCTCCTCGTCGGCGGCATCGCGTGGTGGATTATGATGGAGGGGATTATTTAGCGGATGCGTATGCGGATTTTGGAGCGGATGTTGCATCTCAAGGGCGGCGGCCAGGGAGGCCATGGCATATGCACGGGCATCGATGGGTGGCGGGTTTTGATGGTTCTGATGGGATACTGTGGCATCCGAATCCGATTGCTGATCCTGCTGCTGCTGCTGCTGGTGGTGCTGTTGCTGCTGCTGCTGCTCCAAATCGAAACTCACATTCTTACTGTCTCATCCACCCCGGTGGACCTGGACGGTGGCCTCGGCGGACTCCTGCTGGCGCAACTGCTGACGATACGCATCCAACTCAGGCATCCGATAGGTCCCCAGATTCACCTGCACCATGAGCGTCTCCATGATGCGTTCGTTCTTCATCGATTTGGAGGGCAGGACAACGGTGAGCAGTTCACTGGGCGAGATCCGGCATAAGTTCAGATCACGCGTCAGTCGCTCCATAATGCACTCAAACTCGAATTGTGTGTCCTTATTCGGATGATTCTTCAGTTTGCCCACTTTATGCTGGGCCCACGCCAACATGGCCTCGAATTTACGAATCTCTGGGGTTTGCAGTTCACGGCACATGATCATCTGGACCATTGATTCGGATAGATGTAGGAATTCTGGGCACTTGAACAGCGAGTGCGCCTTGCTCTCCACGAACGACAGGATCATGTTGACCAGCTCGGAGGCGGATGTGTAGCGCCAGTAGTAGTTCTCCAGCGAGATGAGCATCGGGCAGACCACCTCGATGCGCAGGAACTGCTTGCAGTGATGGAAGCATGCCTGCAGCAGCTCCGGCAGGTCGTAATGTTCCGCGGCACATAGTAAGCCTGTAAGAGATAAAGAATATTTATTCGATTCTTTCTAGTTTTCTTCCAAGTTTCCCATCGATATATTCACCTGGTATGGATACGCAGGTCAGTGGACATGTGCCCGTGTGCAGGTAGTCGAGCAAGACTCGGAATGTATCCGGATCGAACTCGATGATGTTGAACTCTGTTTGGGCCAATTTGGCACGATCGACCTTCTGGGCGTCGGCGCAGACGGAGAGGCGTGGAACGGCTAGCTGATTGTTGCCCGGCTTGTCCTTGTCCTTGTCCTTGCTGTCCCTGTCTGCAGGCGCCATTTGGATGAGTGGTATCAAGTGGTTGGGACAATTGGTCAAACGGTCATCGGTCGTTTTGGTTATCGGTAATTGTCGAAATCAAAGAAATCGAAAAAAAAGAAATCGATAGCAAAGCAAAAACCGCAAATTATAAGGGAAAACCGAAATCATTTGTCAGTCGGCAATAGAACGAAAGTGAAACCAAAGTTATTAAGTTAAGAAGTTTATGTTGGGTTTGGTGATCGACGGGGGTTTTGGTTTAGTTTTTTTATATATATTTTTTTTTTATTTTTGTGGGAGTGGTGAGGCGGTTGGCGAGTCACGTGAGATGAGAAAATGACAAAATTTTGTTTGTTGTTTAATTTGAAATTATTTTCGTTTGTTGTTTTCACGTTCGTGAATGTTGATATTAACATAAGAGAGACAGACATAGAGTAGATCGATAGACATAGTAGAGAACAGTAGAAACAAGGATCAAGTCAAGTGGAAGTGAGAAAGTGTTAGAGGAAGTCAAAAAAGATTTCAAAACGTTTTGGTGTTAAATCCAATTGGTTAACGAAATGTCACATAACAGTAAAAAATCCAAGCAGTTGTGGTGAGCAGAGGTGAAATGGCGTGGAATGTGGTGGGATGTTAATGGGCAATTTTCATATTAAGTATACGTATTCAAGATAAATAAATTATTAAAAATTATAAAAACAAAACAAAAGCAACCCATTTTTCAGGGTATATGGGCAGTTAACATAATTAAGCATTGGCATTATACACAGACGTCAGAAGTTTATGATTTTTGAATGATGATATTTGTAGTTTTAAGTTATATTAAAAAAAATCACATCAAGTGCAGTGAAAATAATACAAAATGTGTAGATGGGTTTTTCAAAAATCGAATATTTGGCCAATTTTACAAAAAGGATGCATTGTCAAAAGTTTTTGCAAAACGAAAGAAACACGTCCAGAATATTTTATGCGATGAACCAAGGGTTAACGAAAGAAACACAACAATGAGGTTTTTTTTTTTGGGTTTTTGGTGTTCGTTCGATACAAGACATTCGATCGGGTGTATTTATAGAGTTCAGGAGAACATATTTATATATAAAGTCAGTTGAGATCGGGTGGTGGTTATTATAGAGTACGAGTACGCAGAGTTGAGGCAAAGATGTGCGGCGTGCGTTTTTCAAGTTGCAGGTTTTGATATTGTTTGTTTTTTTTTTTTTTGGTTTTTTACATTTTAAGGATGCAAAGTTAAAGTATTTTTTTTTATAGGACGCAAGGACGCAGACGGTGGACGTATACGTAATGTGGAAATGCGGAAAAATCGAACACAAGTCGCACAGGAGAGAGAGAGGAGAGAAGAGAACAAAAGAGAGCGGAGAGAAAAGAACACGCATCGATATGGTTGCATTGCACCGACTGAAAACCCTTACTCGAACAATCTGTCGACGATATCCACTTCTTCTTGTCATCCGGATTCAGTTGATTCGTGTTCTTGTTCCTTATCGATCTACCCCATCCGGCCGTAATGGTTCCCAGTCGAGAGAAGGCCCTCTTGACCATGGGGGATGATGGTACACTTTTCGGTCGTATCGAATCGGAATCGGGAACTGTCAGGTAGTTGTTGCTCTTCGGTTTCTGATTCTGCGGGGATACTAATGATGGAGCTGGTCGTGCAAAGATCTCGGCCACTGGAATCTGAGGTGATCCGAAGCCTGTCTGAATGCCATACAACATTTCCTGTAGGATGGTAAGTACATTTTATCAATTATAAAGTTTATTACATTAAAAATTATTGCCTTTAAACTTGCAACATTGCGTATGAGTAATTCTCGATAACACTCATACGCACTGTTGATCTGAGTATAGAAAGGACTTGATATTATCACTCATACGCACTGTTTTCTTAATTTGTAAGATAAATTCCATAAAAAAACCCACCTGAAAGACACGACTTCGCACTCCCAGGATCGCTCGGACTCCGATAAATCGAGCCTTCTGCTTGGACTGACCCACCAGAAAAACGACATCGAAGAGATGGGCATTGGTCAGGCACGATGGTTCTTCGTTTAGAAATACGCGGGTAAAATCCTTCGCCAGCTGATCATAATCCTCGAATTGATCTCGAACAGAGTCCAGCAGCGGTGACGAGGGTCGCATATGACCTGCGGGAGATAGAATCGGGGAATTTGCCATATCACTCAGAGGATCTTACAAGTATTTTCTTATACTAAATATCATTGTCAAAATCTTTGGGATGTATAGTCGCTGAAAGAAATGTCATTTAAAGTCGAAAGTGCATGCATATTTCATGCTTGTGTTGTTATAGATTAAGTAATATATGTTGAAAATGTGTTAAAATATATCAGAAGTGCTAGAATTAGTAGTATTTACTAAATAAATCGTATGGCAATCTTTCAGTTCAAATGTAAATAAAGTAAAGCCATTCATGTCTTATTTTAGTAACCAAGCAACCATTTGAAGATGAAAGAAGCTTGGCATTTGAATATCTTGTCTTCTATTATATATACATTCTTATATTACTTCCATGACCTTCAAAACACACATCTGGTTATATGTGTGGGCCGCTTTATTGCATTTTGAGTGGAATTTATGAAGGTGCTTGCCATGGACATATGTTCGTATACGCAATCGAATAATTACAATTGGGAGGCATGGAAGTTCAATAAAGTCCCCACTGGCCACCATATAATTGAGTAGTTCTTGGTACTATCCTTGCATACAGCTGTGGTCAAGTTAATAGGTCATCAGGAAAGTTTACAAAAGAAAATATGTTAAAGATAGTTTCTATCCTAAATGTACTTTAGGTTAATAGTATATCTTAATTCTTTACAATATTTTTTTATATTTTCTTTATAGCTTTTCGATTATTGATTGGTTAAACACTCCTACTTTTCTGACCACAATTGTACCTACAGATTATGTAGAACTAAAAATTTATGCAGTTCCCCAATCGCCCGGCGATGGAAATACCAAACTATCGAAGTTGTAATTTGCATAATTTCAATACGGATAGTCCCCATTGGGGATCACTTCCGGGTTTCCTCAGTGTGTGTAGTAGTAGTAGTAGTAGGGTGGGTGTATATATATATATATATATGTATATAGATGCGTGTGCCTACTTGCGTGTAAGTGTGCATGAATAAATCAAATTAGATTTGTGTTGTCTAGTGCAACAAATAGCAACAAATAAATAACATCAAATCCAAACAAAATCACAACAAACACAGCAACAGCAACGACACACCAACAACAACAACGACAACAACAATGAGAACAACATCCTTGGGTGGGTGTTTGCAGTGTGGGTGGTTATGGCTGGGTGGCTGGGACAATAGATATCCCCCACTGATAAAATAACACAAACATGAACAATATTTCTTGGCCGGACAAGTGTCGGTGTGTCTGTAGATAAAGGACGAGCAGATTGTCCTTGTAGAGGGGGGTTAAAGTTCACAAGAGAAAGACAGAGAGAGTGAGAGCCAGCTAAAGTTAGACAGAGACAAGGACAGCGCTGTGATTGCTTCGAGCGACGACTGCACGTTTCCGGTGGGCACAAACACAGCCGGATGTGTTAATGGCGGAAACGGAAGTGTCAGTGTGTGTTTCTCCCTCCCTTTTGCCTTTCCCTCTACCAACCATCCATATCTCCCCCTCCCTCTGCTTCTCTCTGTGGGTGAAAGTTCAACCGAAAGCAAGACAAAACGATTAATCAAACATACTCGTACAGGCAACCGTGTCACCAAAGGACCAAATGCAAATCTCCCTTTTTTTCTATTTTCGTTTTTTTGCTCTTTTTTTCATTTTCGGGCTGCCAGTAATGGCTGCAATTTGTTCTCGCGATTTGTTTATAAATCTCCTTAAAGTCCAACGGAGAATATCAAATCTAAGCGATTTGCTTTAAGGCCTAGAAAAGACAGGGCCATGGAAATAGCTGAAGATTTATTAGAAGGTTTAATGTTCTGTTCTGGTTGCTAAGTCTTTGGGAGTTTCAGTTTAAGTTCATGACTTTAGCTAACTCTATTTAGTAGAAATAACAATTTAAACTTCTTGAGAATATGCCATTTAGTTTGGTTAGTTAAATGATTTAGCCTGGAGTATACTTAAAAGTTGAAATTTATAGGTAAAAAGGCTATTTACATATAGGATGGCCCACGAAAGATTTGCGTTATAAAATCGCTATAAAAATATCAATATTTCCCAATTTTCTTTCATTGTAAACTTAACCATTTCGTAAACCGCAAACCTTCTACAAAATATCACAACATTCGAAATGCGAAAGTCACAAGGATCGATAGTTCAAAAAGCAAACGCTACATGGGCCACCCATTTACTTTCTAATATGGACTTTAAGGTTTTGCCTTTGGATCTATCTGCTTAGTATTGAATTTTCTTTGCTAAGTTAGTCCTAGTAGTTTCTTCTGTTTTTGGGACTACATAAAAGTGATTCTTCTTTCAGAAATATTGAAATATTGAAATTCAACAAATATTGTTTATATCAGCCAAAGGCCTTTTTTGAAAGAGAGAATAAACTTTTCTAATATTTTTAAACATTTTTCTCTATCACAAAATACACTTCCTATCACTTTTCCCTTTATACACAAACATATTTTAACATCTAAATAATCATACTATAAACTTCCTATGACATTTTCAATTTGTAAAACCAAGAAAAAAAATCCCCAAAGATTTCCCCAAGTTGATTTTCTAATAACTTGCATTTTTGTGTTCTGTTCTAAAGGGGAAAAATCCAAAGAAAATGTAAACACTAAAAAAGTCATTCATCAAAGCCAATGCAGAAAACATGCGGGTGGGTGGAAGAAGGAAGGGACTAAAAAAAGTGGGTGGTTTTTGGGATGTGTGGCAGTGGGGGCGTGACACACATACTATGCCTCGCACACAGGTGCAACATGGCACAACACGACGTGTGTGTGAGTGACGACGTTGACAATTGCAGATGCTGTTGCAGTAGCTGTTGCGGCAGCAATTGTTGTTGCTGTTGGCCCTCATGTAGTTGCTGTTGTTGTTGCTCAGAGTACATGTTGTAGTTGTTATTGTTGTGTCTGTGTGTGCTTGTTGTTGTGTTGTTAATATGATTATTGTTGTTGTTATTGTTGTTGTTGTTACTGTTGTTGTGTGTTGCTGCTGTCGTTAGCAAGTCATTGGCATTATTATTGCAATAGACGCAAATATTGTGCATTGGCAAATGTTGCAGGTGCTGCATATGCTGCATGTGTTGATGCTGCTGCAGCAGCAACTGATGCTGCTGCTGCTGTTCATGGTGTGTATTGTTGTCTAGGACTCGGGCATGCAACATTTTGATATATTCATCCTCACCGATCGGTCGCCAACTGCCGCGTCTATATGGCTTCGGTATCTGTCCAGTTTCCGCATGATTCGATAGATTCATCACCAGATCCTCCAGCATCTGCGAACGCGTCCTCTCCTGCATTCGGGCGAATTTCGGTGCCGAATACGAGGCCCTCTCACCGTTCACGATCTTCGTCAGCAGCCATTCTCTAAGGAAATTTTGGGGTTTCGAGGATATTAAATGAGGGTTTTTTTATTTTTTTTGGGAATTCTTAAATTTTTAGAAAACTCACCGGAACATTGGTCCCTTTTCGAACACGGACTGCTCCCACAAATATGGCTTGTAGGCGCCCACCTCGTCGCGTGTCACCACGGACACCTCGTATCTGGTGGGCTTGTGCTTGATCCTGGCCGAAACGCGTACCTGAAAGGAGTCGAAAAAGTACATAAGTCTTTAGCGCTCAGGTTATCTCCTCATCACTCACTTAGCACTTACCAGTATAAAGGTGTGCAGGAAATGGCTCTTTATGCAGGCGGGACTGAAGCGAGTGTTATCCGCCTCCAAGAAGACCACACAGACGATATCGTTGCCAATGTGCCGCTTCCTTTGGAGCTTCTGCGGATCATGCTTCTCATACGGCAGCAATGTGGATACATGGAACATGATCTCAATATTGCGCCAGTTTGTGTAAACGGAGAAGAGACCTTTAAGTTAACAAGATATATATATATATATAGAAAGGTGTTGCATTAGAAAGAAACTCCTCTAACCTGTCAGGTCGTGCACCGTATCAAGGCCACCTTTGTATTTATCAAATCCCCGCAACCGAACTCGATCGCCCAGCAGCGTGAGGAACTCGTCGAAGAGCGGTGAATTTTCATTATTGTCCAGAATTTGCTCTTCGGTATATTGATCCTCTTTGACAAATATGACGCCAACTTTTAACTCTGATTTTATAAAAACCTAAAAATATAAATAATATATTTTTTATATTTTTAAAACAACTTTAATAAATTAATGACAAACCTGATCTAATTTTAATAATTCCTCTGGCGTATCGGGTAATTGTCCTAACGTTAAAGGTGGATTTAAATTAACTTCTTTACCTAAAGATCTAACTACCTCCTCGCGATTATATCTGTAAAGTAGTTAGAAAACGTAATCATAATCTAAATTCTATATAATTTATAGTTTTTTACCTATCGGCAAACACACAGGACGCCGGTATCAGTCCATGCACTGTATACGATCCAGCTCGAACCAGGATACGGAACTGATCCCTCCCGTTGAGTGTCTCCTGTTTGATGGACAGGATAACCGGACCCAGATCCTCGTCACTGGTGAAATAGTTCCAGTGCTCGGTGCCATAGAAGTACTTCTCGTACGTCTCCTGCTCTACGGAGATCAGTTCGAAGGCGCCCTGCTGGTCCCACTGCTCCTCGATGGTGGTCTTCTTGCGCGGACTTCATGAGATTATAAGATGAAAATAGTTTTTGGATCCTACTATATACGTTGCTAACTATGCTAACTTACCTTGGCGTGGCCTCGGAGTCCTCATCGTCCTCATAGAGATCGCTGCACTCGCGCTCTAAATACGCATCGCTGGCACTGCCTGCCCGTATGTCCTCGTGCTCAGAGTCGCTCTCATCCCAAATGGTATGCGGGGTAGGCATGGTGATCTTCTGACGGGAACATTCGATCCAATAGCCAGGTGTCGGCATCAGATTGTGCGGATACTCCTCGCAGAACTCATCTAGAAGAGGTTTTGGCATCGCAGGATTAGAGTTTATGGCAAGTTAAATCAGAAATTTGGCCACAAATTGGCTTTTTCAATTACGGAAATCATTATTATGTTTCAAGTTTTTTAATTAGATTTGTCATGAAGTTCTTAAGTAGGTATTGCAGCTGCAGACCAGCTGCTTTCTCAAAACTGCATTATCGTGCGTCAAACTTGGGTTTCTTTCTTGCTATTTTCCGGAACGACTTAACTCTTAATTTGGAGGTGGCACTTTGGATTTTAGTTTGGTTAAGATTCCCGGCCAATCAGCCACAGTGTCTAAGCCCCACTCCATAAGAAAAGTTCCCCGCTGACAATCTCTTTCTCTCTCCCTCTGTTGCTGTCTCACTTTCTTCCTGCGGCCAAAGAGTCTTATGTCAAAAGTTTTCGCTCAACTTTTTAGCGGCTTGGCGGCTTGCGGCTTTTGACATTCTATAGCAGAAACTGTTGCCTACTTTGAGGCTTTCAATGGCTGGCAATTCCTTCAACTCTAAACAAAATAATTTAGTTCAATTCAATTAAAATGCAAATACCGTAAACGCCGGTCGAGTGGCGTCGCGTGAGTTGCCAGTCATAAAGCAGGCGAAATTTCCCATTTCCCTATTTTCCTTTTCGCACTACTACACCCCCTTTTACCACCCACACACATTTTCCCTTAACTTTTCTGTCCATGATTGAGTTGGAAATTCGATGCGGCGCGTGAGTCAATAATGTGCCACAACTCTCTCTCTGTCTACTCGAAGGACAGTGGTTCGAAATGGGAGATGGTTTCTAAATCACATTTAAGGCAGTCTTAATCTTTGATTATCTCTTTTGATTAATTTATAATTTTAAAATCTCTTCTATTAGTTAAGATTTTCTTATTCATTTCCATTAATTTAATAAATTAAATCTAATCACCATTCCCTGCCTTTCATTCCACTGTACAATGATGAGTATGATGATGCCCCTCTTGCCATGACGTTGATGGTGTTTGGGTCTTGGGTCTTGGGTCCCACCCACTGCTCCTTGGGCTCTTTTGTGCCTCTTGTTGCCGGTTCGTGTTTCAGCGAGATGGCAGTAAAATGCTGCCCTGCGCCAAGATGGGAACTATGATCTAATTAAGGAGCGCTCACCGTTCCCGTCACATGTGCCACACATTTTATGCCGCAAGTTTTGCCCGTCTACCACGCGCAGATGCTGCATATTTTGGGTCTCATTCTGCCCAAAAAAAGAAAAAAGAAAAGGAAACACGCACACATCTTTGGCATACAACCACACACTACCCCAACACACACACACACACACATACACAGATAGAAAGACAGACAGTGAGGGCCATAAAATGGTTGCCCTGCCTAATTCAAATTTGAATAACTCGCAGCGTGCGCCGCTAAGTAGGCTATGAAATCGCTTGCTCGCGCTGTTTTCCTACTGCGGGTCTTGCCAAGACTTTCCATGCCCTATAAACAGTAAGGTAAGCTAACTACTTGACTTACTCGACACACTGACAAGAATATTTTCTTCTTCATACACTTTTTTCTATGGACCAAAGGGTATTACCAGTTCGTGACTGTTCTTTGGCAAAGTATCAGGGTCCTGAGACCTCTGGAACATGTGGTTATGGTTACGATTGTGGATTTCGGCATGGTCAGATTTTGTTCGGGGGGCGTTGCGCGTCTGTATGTGTGTGTGTGCGTGTAAATTGCGTGCGCAGCGCCCGCGGATATGCAATATATTTTATTTTTTAAGACCAGTTAAACCCGCCCCCGCATCTTGGGGCCATTTTTGGGTCACTTGGATTTACGCCTGACTTTAGCGCTTATTTCTGTTCCCCCCTCTTCTCTTTTTTGCCAACGATCCTGCTACGCGGCTAGAGTTTCCTGTTCATGGTCTCTGGGCTGTCGGTCTCTGGTCCCTTGTCCCTGGTCCCTGGTCCTTCTACCATACAAATAACATCCCGTTCGGTTCATTTTTCATCTACTTCGCCTGCCCGGCAGGAAAGTTCTTATGTTGCAGCTGCAGCTAGCCGTACACGACGCTGCATAACAGCAGCAGCAACAGCAGCAGCAGCAACATGCAACACAAAACACGAAAACAAACACAAACAGCCAAATTGATGGCCATCGTTTGTTGGCCTCCCAGGAGGATGTTAAGGCAACCGGAAGCTTCGAAGCTTGCAAGCTGCAAAAGCCGGGCAACTATTTCATCTTGCCACTTGTAATGGCGGCCACTTGCCAAGCCCGGCGAAAGGCAAACAAATCAGACCAACTGACACCCGGCTATATAATATCTATCTATATATATATAGGATTACTTTAGGAATATTGTGAATGGTCGTCTATAACCTGAGAAGCTCTATGGGGGTAGACAAATCGCAGCCAGAGAGTGGAAATATAGAAAGCGAGAAGGGCTAGTGGAGAGTGAGATGATGGCTTCTTAAGTATAAAGATTTCTGGCGAATTTATTGGAGTTAAATATAGTTTTTAATGGATAAAATGTTCTGATAAGTATTGCTATTACTGATACCATACCACCGCCCCCTTAAACCCCAAATTTAAGAACTGCAACTACTAGGAAAACCCTAAACTGTTTCACAGTCCATTTGAGTGTTTGATCAAAATGCAATGGGAGATGATATGTGTGAGTGTGGTGTGTGTGTATGTGTGTGGTTAGTGCAAACATTTTCGCAATGCCCCAAATTGAGATGCGATTCGTGTTGATTTGTGCGGCCGCAGACGCGTGTTGCAATTTAAATTCCATTTTCGACGCAACAACCGCAAATGGATGGTTTCGTGTTGCAGGTGTAAACATTAAATGAACAAATTTCAAAGCACTAATTGTGGACTATCTATATCTACGAGTATATCTATATATATGTTAAACCAATACCCGCATATCACCGTAATATCATTTGATATGAATGAGCTCAATTTGATTTGCAAATGGGGGGGAAATTTAAGGGAATGACGGCATTTTGTTTCATTTTATGCTGCCTAATAAATAGTTAATTAATGAAGTTTTGCTGTTTAAAGTTAAGAAAGAAGGATTTTGGAACTTTAAAATCTAACAAGTCAAGTTGTCAACTGACCTCCTTTCCCTTCCATTCCCTTTTCATCAATTCAGCAATAATTATGAGACCAGCTAATCCTGCCCTGAAATCCCGCTGCATCATCCACTCATCAGCCTTCTAACCATCTACCCAACCATCCCTGGGCAGAAGGATTTCCGCTTACACAACACAAAATGTTGCGTGGCCATGACTGTGACCCTGTAGTTTTTTTGGCCAACAATGCACTTTCGGCCCAGATGACTGGGCGGGATTTGTTTTGGCCCATTTAAATGACACGGTCGCCCACTTTTCAACCAACTCATCTCATCTGGCTCTCTCTCTCTCTCTCTTACTCTCTCCCTTCTTCTTCTTTTTTTTCGTAATGTTTTGATGCGCCGCGGAAATCCATTAGCCATTAGTCCCTCTAAAACCCAAAAAGCAGCGAACCCAACCCAAACCCATTCCCCAGCGACGATGACAATTCCTTCAAGGATCACGCAACATTGCATTAGCATAAAGTGCCGGCACAATGGCCTGACATTTGGCAAATGACTCGCAGCATAATAATGGACACTCGGATCAGGCAGGAAAAAAGGAAAACATATTCCGGATGTCAAATAGAATTATATTCCTAAAGGGGATTTGAAACTTTAGGAATTTTATTGGTACCACAAGGTGTAAGGTGGCTAAGAATGAGAAATTTCTTTAAGCCTGATTTCGCCCCTCAAGCTGTCAGTGTTATTCCCATAACTAAGCCAATAATGGCCCGAATATGGAATGTAATACCTCGCTGAGTTTGTTTTTTAATTCTTATAATTTCTGCATTCCCAGTTAAAAATTTACAAATTATGCCATTTTTTCTAAATGATGCCCCTTATGAAAAATGCGAAATTTAGCCGAAAAATGAATTTCTCAAAAGAGAGAGTGCTGGTTGTAAGCAGCACAAAACAGTCGTTATTTTCACTATGCGTCTTGTTTTGACCGATCTAGAGCTAAAAAACGGACACAATACTGCAAATTTCTGCTAAAAATTGGTTTTCGGATTTTTCAGCCATTAAAACAGAGCTCGCACCAAAAAATAAGAATAATAACGATAAAAGCAAGTATAGAGCTTTAAAGTTTTGGTTGTAAGCTGAATAAAACAGTCACTGTTTTAGCTGTGTGTCTTGTCTGAGCAAAGTTAGAGCTAAGAAACTGCAAGAAGGCCGGGATCCCTGCTGCCAATAGGCGTATACTTGATTTTTGAGCGCAAGAATTTCAGTTTTTTAGCCATAGCACAGCCAAAAATGGCCCAAATAAGGAATGTAATACCTCGTAGGGCTCGTAACTTGATTGCCATGATTCCCAATTGATTTGCATTCAAATCTGGGAAACTTCATTTTTGGCCCATTTTTGAAAATTTTGATGATGGTACCCCTTATCAAAAATGCGAAATTTGGGCCAGAATTGACTTTCCCAAAATCGAAAAACGGGTGATAGGGGTGGTTAGTGTTGGTCGTTAGCAGCACGAAACAGTCGTTCTTTTGGCTGTGCGTCTTGTTTTGGCCGAGCTAGAGCTGAAAACCCGCAACAAATATTGCATTTTGATTTTTCAGCCATGAAATCAGCACTCGCAGGAAAAGAGCAGTACATCAATGTAAAAAGTGGGTATAGGGCCTTAAAGTGTTGGTTGTAAGCTGCATAAAACCGTTTTTGTTTTAGCTGTGCGTCTTGTTTTGACAAAGTTAGAGCTAAGAAACGGCAACAAAACCGGGCATTCTGCTGCCAAAAGGCGTATACTTGATTTTTGAGTGCAAGAATTTCAGTTTTTTAGCCATAGCACAGCCAAAAATGGCCCAAATAAGGAATGTAATACCTCGTAGGGCTCGTAACTTGATTGCCATGATTCCCAATTGATTTGCATTCAAATCTGGGAAACTTCATTTTTGGCCCATTTTTGAAAATT